AGTAGAGGAGTAGTAGTAGTAGTAGTAGTAGTAGTACCGGTCGTCAAAGGAAGTTGGGAAGCAATCTTCCGAGTTAGGGACAAATAGAATTGCATGAGACTTTACATCTGACGAAGGGCGGTGTGAGACTTTACATCGCACAACAGTACTAGAATTGTGAGACTTTGCATCTGACGAAGGGTGGTGTGAGACTTTACATCACACAACAGTACACCAACAGTACACCACATAACATACATTCATCACATACAAGAAGGCAACGAAGGGTGGTGATTGAGGGAAGTGATGACGAAGGGTGATGACGGGGGGGGTGGTGATTGAGGGAAGTGATCACGAAGGGTGCTGACGAAGGATGGTGACTAAGGGAAGCGCATGGTGACTAAGGGCAGTGGTGACAAAGGGAAGTGGTGACGTGCTGAATGAATGTGCACGTGCTGCTGCGAAGGGAGGCGATGAAGGATGGTGACTGAGGGAAGCGGAGACTAAGGGAAGTGGTGACGTGCTGAATGAATCTGCATGTGCCGCAGCAAGACGCATTGTAATGGCTGCATGAATGTTGCCTGGGACTTGGGTTGGGGAGGAAGCCGGAGCACTGTTGCCATCTGTGTCGAGACATGCGGGTTAGCCACGTCATGCTGCAAAACGCATTGTAATGGCCGCATGACTGTTGCATGGGGTTTGTTTTGGGGAGGAAGCTGGAGCAGGAAGCCTTGTGTTTTTCCGTACAAAGTGGCTGCAGGTGGCGATGAAAGATACCTTGCGTGTGTGTGTGTGTGCGGCGGTTGCGGCTCAGTCGTTCCGGGCGCGAATTGGTTCTCCCTTGCTGTTCTGCAACGTGTGGTTGTTCATGTGTGCTGTGTGCGTAGTTAAAGGGCGTTTTGGAATCTGTGCTTGCAGTTCGCGATGTAATGGCTGTATGATTGTTGTCACGTTTTGTTGCCATGTGTGTCGAGACATGCGGGTTAGACACGTGATGCTGCAAAACGCATTGTAATGGCTGCAGCAAGATTCCTCGCTGCTGCGGCTGTTTGCGTAATACTATTGTCTTTTGCAGCTGAGAGTCGTGAATCGTATTCGAGTGGCTGCATCAAGGTTGCAATAGTGATTTGTCAGCAGATTTTCTCAATTTTGCTGCTTCTGATTTTCCTTTGGAAATTCCTTTTAAAAAGTGCTTGAAAATCGTATTATTTTTTTTTGCTCTGGCGCCGAGATCTGGTTTTCGAGCTGCAAATTCTGACGTTGTTGCGCGTAGCTCTATTGTGATTTGCAGCTCAGTCTGTGCAGATTGCATTGTAATGGCTGCGTCAAGGTTGCTTGGTGCCGCGGCTGCGTGCGTAATACTATTGTCTTTTGCAGCTGGGCATCGTAAATCCTATTGGAATGGCTGTGCATCAAGGCTCCACTAGTGATTTGTGAGCATATTCTCTCAATTTTCGCTTTGGCGCCGAGATTTTGTTTTGAAGCGGCAATTTCTGGCGCCGTTGCGCGCAGTTCTATTGTGTTTTGCAACTCAGTCCCCGCAGATCGCACTGTAATGGCTGCATCAAGGTTCCTCCCTGCTGCAGCTGCCTACGTAATACTGTTGCCTTTTGCAGCTGGGAGTCGTGAATCGTATTCGAGTGGTCGCGTCAAGGTTGCGATCGTGATTTGTCAGCCGATTCTCTCAATTTTGCTGCTGGTGATCGTCTTTAAAATTGCTTTTGAAAAGTTTTAAAAGTGCTTCAAAACCGTGCTTTTTTCGCTTTGGCGCCGAGATCCGGTTTTCGAGCTGCAATTTCTGCTGTCATCATGTACAAGAAAGTTTATCTGTGTAAAAACTTCTTTCTCTAAAATCTTGCTGTGTGTAAAAGCCTTCTGTGTGTAAAAACTTGCTGTGTGTAAAGGCTTTCTTTGTGTCAAAGCTTCTCAGCGTAAAAGCTTGCTGTATGTAAAAGATGCTTGCTGTGTGTAAAAGCTTGATGTCTATTGGGAAGTATTTTGTGCCAGCTTTGTAATACAAACGCTATGCTGTGTGCAAGCTTTGTAGTACAAAGTCATACTAGGAAGTATTTTGGGCAAGCTTTGTAGTACAAAGTAGTACTGGGACGTGCTTTGTGCAAGCTTGTAGTACAAAGCAGTACTGGTGCGAGCTTGTAATACACAAAAGTACTGGGAGGTGCTTTGTGCAAGTTTGTGGTACGAAGTGGTACTGGGAAATGCGTTGTGCAAGCTTTGTAGTACAAAGTAGTACTGGGAAGTGCTTTGTGCAAGCTTTGTAGTACAAAGTAGTACTGGGAAGTACTTTATGCAAGCTTTGTAGTACAAAGTAGTACTGGGAAGTGCTTTGTGCAAGCTTTGTAGTCCAAAGTAGTACTGGAAGTGCTTTGTGCAATCTTTGTAGTACAGAGTAGTACTGGGACGTGCTTTGTGCAAGCTTTGTAGTACAAAGTAGTACTGGGAAATGCTTTGTGCAAGCTTTGTAGTACAAAGTAGTACTGGGAAGTGCTTTGTGCAAGCTTGGTAGTACAAAGTAGTACTGGGAAGTACTTTATGCAAGCTTTGTAGTACAAAGTAGTACTGGGAAGTACTTTATGCAAGCTTTGTAGTACAAAGTAGTACTGGTATATGATTTGTGCAAACTCTGTGGTGCAAAGAAGTACTGGGAAGTACTCTGTGCAAGCTTTGTAGTGAAAAGTAGTACTGGGAAATGCTTTGTGCAAGCTTTGTAGTACAAAGTAGTGCTGGGACGTGCTTTGTGCAAGCTTTGTAGTACAAAGTAGTACTGGGAAGTACTTTGTGCAAACTTTGTAGTACAAAGTAGTACTGGGAAATGCTTTGTGCAAGCTCAGTGGTACAAAGTAGTACTGGGAAGTGCTTTGTGCAAGCTTTGTAGTACAAAGTAGTACTGGGACGTGCTTTGTGCAAGCTTTGTAGTACAAAGTAGTACTGGGAAGTGCTTTGTGCAAGCTTTGTAGTACAAAGTAGTACTGGGAAATGCTTTGTGCAAGCTTTGTAGTACAAAGTAGTACTGGGACGTAATTTGTGCAGGCTTTGTAGTCGAAAGTAGTATTGGGAAGTACTCTGTGCAAGCTTTGTAGTACAAAGTAGTACTGGGAAATGCTTTGTGCAAACTTTGTAGTACACAGTAGTACTGGGAAGTGCTTTGTGCAAGTTTTGTAGTACAAAGTAGTACTGGGAAATGTGCAAGCTTTGTATTTGTAGTACAAAGAAGTACTGGGACGTGCTTTGTGCAAGCTTTGTAGTCCAAAGAAGTAGTGGCACTTACTTTGCACAATCTTTGTGGTACAAAGTAGTACTGGGACGTACTTTGTGCAAGCTTTGTACTCCAAAGTAGTACTGGGAAGTGCTTTGTGCAAGCTCTGTGGTACAAAGTAGTACTGGGAGGTACTTTGTGCAAGCTTTGCAGTACAAAGTAGTGCTGGGAAATGTCTTGTGCAAACTAGTACTGTGTGTAAGAGCTTCTGTGTGTAAAAGCTTCTCTGTGTAAAAGCCTCCGCGTGCAAACGCATATGTGTCTAAAGGCTTGTCCGTGTTAAAGTTCGCTGCGTGTAGAAGCTTCTCTGTGTAAAAGCTCCTGTGTGTAAAAGCTTTTCTGCGTAAAAGTTTGCAGTGTGTAAAAAAATTCTCTGTGTAAAAGTGTGCTGTGTGTAAAAGCTTCTGCGTGTAAAATTGTTGTGTGAAAAAGTTTCTCTGTGTAGAAGCTTGCTGTGTGTAAAAGCCTGCTGTGTGTGAAAGCTCTCTGTGTAAAAGCTTTCTGTGTGTGCCAGCTTGCTGTGTGTAAAAAATTGCTGTGTGTAAAAACTTCTCTGTGTAAAAGCGTGCTGTGTGTAAACGCTTCTCATGTGCAGAAGTTTTCTGTGTGTAAAGGCTTTTCTGTGTAAATGCATCTGTGTCTCAAGCTTCTGTGTGCAAAAGCTTCTCTGCGCATTGATTTTTTGTGTGCAAGAGACTTCCCTCTGGCAGTAAAAGCTTTGTGACACGCAGAAGAGCTAAGATGAGTTGAGAGGAGCTTCGATGAGATGAGAAGAGCCGAGATTAGGTGAGAAGAGCTCAGGCGATATGAGATGAGATGAAGTGTGGAGTGTGAAGTGTAAGTGCGAAGTGTGAAGTATGAAGAGTGCAGTGTGAAGTGTGGAGTTTCAAGTACGACCTTTGAAACAGTGCATCACCGTCGAACAAAGCACGCACGCACCGGCCTGGCTGGCGCACGGCGCATGCAAGTTCTATGGAAGAAAAAGGTCTTATAGTATAACCCAAAGGCAACTTCCGCCCCGCCTCGTGCGGGTACTACTGGCAGTAGTAGTAGTAGAAGAAATAGTAGGAGTAGTCGTCGTAGTCGTAGTCGTAGTCGTAGTCGTAGTCGTAGTAGTCGTCGTCGTTGTCGTCGTCGTCGTCGTAGTAGTAGTAGTAGAAAAGCAGCAGCAGTAGAAAAGCAGCAGTAGTAGAAAAGCAGCAGTAGTAGAAAAGCAGCAGTAGTAGAAAAGCCAATAGTAGGAGAAAAGCAATAGTAGTAGAAAAGCAGTAGTAATAGAAAAGCAGTAAAAGAAGTAGTAGAAGTAGTAGTAGTAGTGGTAGTAGTAAGTAGTAGTAGTAGTAGTAGTAGTAGTAGCAGGAGTAGTAGTAGTAGTAGTAGTAGTAGGAGTAGGAGTAGTAGTAGTAGTAGTAGCAGTAGTAGTAGTAGTAGTAGTAGTAGAAAAGTAGTAGTAGTAGTAGAAAAGTAGTAGTAGTAGAAAAGTAGTAGTAGTAGTAGTAGTAGTAGTAGAAAAGCAGCAGCAGCAGCAGCAGCAGGAGGAGGAGGAGGAGTAGTAGTAGTAGTAGTAGTGGCAGTAGTAGTAGAAAAGCAGTAGTAGTAGAAAAGCAGCAGTAGTAGAAAAGGAACAGTCGTAGAAAGGCAATAGTAGTAGCAAAGCAATAGTACTAAAAAAGCAATAGTAGTAGAAAAGCAGTAGTAGAAAAGAAGTAGTAGAAAAAGTAGTGGTAGAAAAGTAGTAGTAGTAGAAAAGTAGTCGTGGAAAAGTAGTCGCAGAAAAGTAGTGGTAGAAAAGTAGTCGTAGAAAAGTAGCCGTAGAAAAGTAGTCATAGAAAAGTAGTCGTAGAAAAGCAGTCGTAGAAAAGTAGTCGTAGGAAAGTAGTCGTAGGAAAGTAGTCGTGGAAAAGTAGTCGTGGAAAAGTAGTCGTAGGAAAGTAGTCGTAGGAAAGTAGTCGAAGGAACGTAGTCGTAGGAACGTAGTCGTAGAAAAGTACTAGTAGTAAAGTAGTCGTGGAAAAGTAGTAGTAGTAAAAGAAGTAGTAGTAAAGAAGTAGTAGTAGTAGTAGTAGTAGTAGCAGTAGCAGTAGTAGTAGTAGTAGTAGTCGTCGTCGTGGTGGTGGTGGTGGTGGTAGTGGTAGTGGTAGTGGTAGTAGTGGTAGTAGTGGTAATGGTAGTGGTAGTGGTAGTGGTAGTGGTAGTAGTGGTAGTGGTAGTAGTGGTAGTGGTAGTGGTGGTAGTGGTGGTAGTGGTGGTGGGAGTAGTAGTAGTAGTAGTAGTAGTAGTAGTAGTAGTAGTAGTAGTAGTAGTAGTAGTAGTAGTAGTAGTAATCGTAGTAATCGTAGTAATCGTAGTAATCGTAGTAATCGTAGTAATCGTAGTAGTCGTAGTAGTAGTAGTAGTAGCAGGAGTAGTAGTAGTAGTAGTAGTAGTAGTAGCAGTAGTAGTAGTAGTAGTCGTCGTCGTCGTGGTGGTGGTGGTAGTGGTAGTGGTAGTAGTGTAGTAGTGGTAGTAGTGGTAATGGTAGTGGTAGTGGTAGTGGTAGTGGTAGTGGTAGTAGTGGTAGTGGTGGTAGTGGTGGTAGTGGTGGTGGTGGTGGTGGGAGTAGTAGTAGTAGTAGTAGTAGTAGTAGTAGTAGTAATAGTAGTAATCGTAGTAATCGTAGTAATCGTAGTAATCGTAGTAGTAGTAGTAGTAGTAGTAGTAGTAGTAGTAGTAATCGTAGTAATCGTAGTAATCGTAGTAATCGTAGTAGTAGTAGTAGTAGTAGTAGAAGAAAAGTGGTAGTAGAAAATTGGTAGTAGAAAAGTAGTAGTAGAAAAGTAGTAGTAGAAAAGTAGTAGTAGAAAAGTAGTCGTAGAAAAGTAGTCGTAGAAAAGTAGTCGTAGAAAAGTAGTCGTAGGAAAGTAGTCGTAGAAAAGTAGTCGTAGAAAAGTAGTCGTAGAAAAGTAGTCGTAGAAAAGTAGTCGTCGAAAAGAAGTCGTAGGAAAGTAGTCGTCGAAAAGCAGTCGTAGAAGAAAAGTAGTCGTAGAAGAAAAGTAGTCGCAGAAGAAAAGTAGTCGTAGAAGAAAAGTAGTCGTAGAAGAAAAGTAGTCGTAGTAGAAAAGTAGTCGTAGTAGAAAAGTAGTCGTAGAAAAGTAGTCGCAGAAAAGTATTCGTAGAAAAGTAGTCGCAGAAAAGTAGTCGCAGAAAAGTAGTCGCAGAAAAGTAGTCATAGAAAAGTAGTCGTAGAAAAGAAGTCGTAGAAAAGAAGTCGTAGGAAAGTAGTCGTCGAAAAGCAGTCGTAGAAGAAAAGTAGTCGTAGAAGAAAAGTAGTCGCAGAAGAAAAGTAGTCGTAGAAGAAAAGTAGTCGTAGAAGAAAAGTAGTCGTAGAAGAAAAGTAGTCGTAGTAGAAAAGTAGTCGTAGTAGAAAAGTAGTCGTAGAAAAGTAGTCGTAGAAAAGTAGTCGTAGTAGTAGTAGTAGTCGTCGTAGTAGTAGAAGAAGTAGTAGTAGTAGTAGTAATGGCACGTAAGAGGAGCAGAAGTCTTAGTCGAAGGCCATGAAAAAAGTGATCCTAGACCTAGCAACACACGCGTGTGCAAACGAGTCGGGGGAGTGCGTGTACAGACGAGTCGCTAAACACGTGCACAAACGAGGTCTAAACAACTGGAAAAACTTATCGCCAACATGTATCTGGTAAGATGCCCCCGGAATTGTTGATGTCCAAAGGGGGTTAATTCCCAACGCCGTTTCGCCGTAGTTCATCTAATCCCAGGAGCTGTTTTCTTTTACGGCCAACTCTGTGGGCAAGGCGTTTCCGAAGGGGATCTTCTGGGCAATGGCAAAGATGGACGTGTGACTCACTGCGCACCAGCTGCCTGGATCATTCGAAACCAGGAGTTGGGCACCGTCTGTCGACCACGCATCTACCTCGCCATGCGTCAAAACCCTGGGGGGCATTGGCATTGCATGTTTTTCAAGACGTGATGCAAGACTCTGGCAATTTAGGGATGAATCATGCAGTTTATCAAACTTATAAACATACAAGGTTATACATGGTTATATGAGACAGAGATAGGCAAAACCCATTTCAAAGTCCTTACCATGGGTTTATTGGAAACAACGGGCACACGTTTCATCGATGAGCCACCAAAGGATCGAAGTAAACGCACTCATCCCCTGCAACGGGCGCTTTTTCGCTGATTTTGATGATGACTGGATCAGTCAAACCTTTGACTTCCAAAACCGATACTTCTCCTTGGCTTTCCTGTACGAAAGAGATTTCCACCACTGGAGAATTCCTGAGATCATGCCCAGGTTTGCAATCCTAGTAACCCCAAAGAGATCGAAATGTCGCCCACTATATAAGCCGCTTAAAATCAGCGTGGAGCAAAACACAGGTGTAAACCGACCAAGAGTGACCAAGACTCAACAGAATGATGTCAGCGCCCTTGTTCTTGGGAAAGGACTCACCAACGGATGGAAGCAAATCTGTCACCACCAGCATCAAATTCCCCTCGGCCAAGTTGTTCAATGCCGCCGGCAGCAACACCACGACCTCCGAACCTGCCAGATGCACTTGATTTCTACAGGGCAGGGCTCACATTCTTGAGAAAGGAATCTGAAGGGGGCGCTATTACAATGGCTCTGAAATATCACAAAAAAATATTAAACTTTTAAACCAATTCTTTATACCCATCCCAAGTCCAAAACAACCACACGGTGCGGCGTTGCTTTGGGTATGGCGCCTCCGTCAGTTCGATTGATTCGGACCTGGTCGCTGGTCGATGACAGCTTTACCACAGTGACAACGCCTGACGGCGTCCCTTGCGAAAGCGACGCCTCGTCCTTGCGATCGCTTTGGGGCTTGTATATATATGATTGCATATGCATTTGTATGTACATGTGGTATAAGGTCTGCAGGCGTGTATTCGTGATATATCGTGATATGCAGTGTGAACCACTCTGCCATAATTTCAGAAGGTCGCCTGTGAAACCAAGGTAGCGACTGTTTCCGACACTAGACGACGGTTGGCCCGAGAGCGAGTAGGTGTATTGTTACTCAGATATTTTGTATGGTTGAGTTATTTGCAGATGCCAAATGAGAGATAGTTTGTGTGTGTGTGTGCGTGGGTCAATGATGTGGATATTTTCATAATGTGTGGATGTGAGGATAAGAAGATGTGAAGATGTAAGAAAAGTAGTTGCAAGACTTGCCCCAAAAGCAGTTCGGACACACGCTTTTACACACAGAAGCCTCTACACACACATACGCACACGCTTTTAGACAGAGAAGCCTCCACACACAAACGCTTTTACACACAGACACTTTTACACACAGAAGCTTTTACACTCAGAAAGCTCTACACACAAACGCTTTCACACACACAGACACCCTTACACATAGACGCTTGTACGCACAGACGCTTTTCACACAAACATTTTTACACTGAAACTTTGACACCTCTACACACACACGCACCCTTTTACAAACACAGAAGCTTTTTACACACACACACACGCTTTTCCACACACAGACACTCTTTTAAACAGCACCAGCGCCTGTACAGACACTTTTATACACAGGCGCTTTTACACACAAAAACTTTTACACACAGACATTTGTACACACGCACACACAACATAACTTTAAAACTTCTTTGGGGCAGGAGCTGAATTCACACGTTTTACTGTACAAACACACACAAGCTTGCACCTGCATCAACATTAAGATCTCTTTGGGGCAGGAGCTGAAATCGCACATTTTGTTGTAAAAGCTTGTGCAGTTCGGAAGCTTTTACACACAAAGCCCTTACACACAAACGCTTTTACACACATACGCGTTTACGCACAGAAGTCTTTACAAACAGAGACTTTGACACACAGATGCTTGTACGCACAAATGCTTTTACACACAGACACTCTTGCAAACACAGAAGCTTTTTACACACACACACACAAACGCTTTTACACACACAACACTCTTTTAAACACCAGCACTTGTACAGACACTTTTACACACAGGCGCTTTTACACACAGAAACTTTTACACACAGACATTTGTACACACACACAACATAACTTTAAAACGTCTTTGGGGCAGGAGCTGAATTCATACGTTTTACTGTAAACACGCGCGCGCAACTGCACCGACATCAACTTTAAGACCTGTTTGGGGCAGGAGCTGAATTCACACATTTTACTGAACAAACGCGCGCAAACTTGCACCCGCATCAACTTCAAGATTTTACTGTAAAAGCTTCTACAGACACAAAGGCTTTTACACAGAGAAGCCTTTACACACAGACAATTTCATACACACACGTACACACGCACAGAGGCTTTTACACACCCACACACACACACTCTCTCTTTTGCACACACACACTCTCTTAAACACCAACGCTTTGACACACAGGCGCTTCTACACACAGAAGCTTTTACACACAGACATGGTACACACACGCAACATCACTTTAAAACTTCTTTGAGGCAGGAGCTGAATTCACACGTTGTACTGTACAAACGCACACAAACTTGCACCCGCATCAACTTTAAGACCTCTTTGGGGCAGGAGCTGAATTCACACATTTTACTAAACAAACGCGCGCAAACTTGCACCCGCATCAACTTCAAGATTTTACTGTAAAAGCTTCTACAGACACAAAAGCTTTTACACACAGAAGCCTTTACACACAGACAATTTCATACACACACGTACACACGCACAGAAGCTTTTACACACACACACACCCACACACACACTCTCTCTTTTGCACACACACACACTCTCTTAAACACCAACGCTTTGACAAGCAGGCGCTTTTACACACAGAAACTTTTACACACAGACATGGTACACACACGCAACATAACTTTAAAACTTCTTTGAGGCAGGAGCTGAATTCACACGTTTTACTGTACAAACGCACACAAGCTTGCACCTGCATCAACATTAAGACCTCTTTGGGGCAGGAGCTGAATTCAGACATTTTACTGTAAAAGGTTGCACAGACACAGAAGCTTTTACACACAAAAGCTTTTTTGCACAGGCCCTTTTACACACATACGCGTTTACGCGCAGACGCCCTTGCACACACACACAGAAGCTTTTAGACACAGAAGCCTTTACACACGTACAATTTCATACACACTAGAAAAGAACCGGATCATTGGAGTGATCCGTCGGGAACGGAATCCCGTAAAAGCTTAACCAAACCTGATTATATTATATTTAGATTTATTAAAACAAATTAAATAGATAGATAGATAGATAAATAAATTCCAAAAAAAAATAGGACTACGGTGGCCACCAGCTGCGACTTAAATGCGCCCAGGTGCACCACCGAAGTCCTGCGGGTACGTTTACACGGGTCTCAGGGAGGTGTCTTGGTTGGTCACCGACCCCCCCGCGACCCTGGTCACCCCCCGCTATAAATGAAACACAGGAGTAAAACAGAAGTTTTACATCTGTTCAGATGTTACACACACACACAAACACACGCCCGGCCGAGGCCGGGTCAACCCTGAAAGGCAAGAGGAAGAAAAAAGCAGACACCAACGACGGGCCAACGGACAAAACAGCGCAGGGGGGGGAGGGGAACAAACGAACCTCCAAAACCAACGTACACGGAGAAACGGACCTAACCAGCACAGAGCACACACCTGAACCCCACGACACACTACAGAGGGGCACAGGGGATTCCGGGAATAAATCAGGTTGATTAGTTGGGACCTAGTCCCAAATTGCAAGGATGCGCGTTACTCCCTTGAAGGGACGGTAGTCGGTCAACCCACAAGTGAGCATTAGACGACTGTCAGTTCTTCACGAATTAGGTGCACAACTTGCCAACCTCACCAGATACCAAAGTAGACCACACCTGCAGGAAAAAGCCATGGACCTGAAGCCTTTCTTGAAGCATGCTTGTCATGTGAGCTGTATCTCTGTCCGTGGTAAAAACTTGGTTTCTGACTGTTCCGTCGGTCTCTCTTTGAGCAAAGCCGGAAAATTTCCGACGGTTCACGAGGACGGCTGGAGCGGCGGGACATCGCAAAAAAGATGAGGAACGGCAAGGCCGACTGTTTCACTATACTTAAACGAAGTACCAAATTAACATGTGTAAATTCGGAATTCTGTTCGTCTGCGTTCTCCCAAATGGGTTTCCTCAAATGGGTCCATTCTCCCAATCGGACATTCCATTATCCACCGGAGCGGCCGGTGACCAGATCTAGACTCGCACGAAGCAGATCGACGGTGCTCACAAGTCAGCGCGCACACCCAGAACACACTGCTTAGGTTTTTGGTTGATGAGAAAAGTAGAACTTCAGGTCAGGGTATGTCAATCATGGTCGAACATCGTAAGTGGCATTCCAGCTGTATGTCTTCTCATACCCAGGAACTGCCTGCAGGTACGTTTGCAGCTCTCATCATTGGCCTCTTCGTTGGCCATCCACCAATGATGAGAGGGATGGCCCCCTGCTCTAGTTGAATTATTGTAAAATATCCGTATGAAACAACCGGTTTAACGCACACACACACACACACGCGCACACACGCTCACACTCGCTTTCACATACACTTTTTCAGAATTAGACCTTTCAAGTGGTCTCTATGCATCGTTTTCGACGTTCGGTTGCTTTAGACAACTCCAAAAATCACAATTTTACGTCAGTTTTTGACTTTCATTTCGTGCGAAAGGGTTGCATCTCGATGAGTTCCGACGGACCCGCCTCTGGCGAAAGAATAGAGAGATAGAATATTAGGAACACTAGCAAGAGAGGAGAGAGAGGGGAAGATCAGATGAGATAAGACGGGAGATGAGATGAGACGGGAGATGAAATGAGACGAGACGAGACGAGACGAGAGATGAGATGAGATGAGATGAGATGAGGTGAGATGAGATGAGATGAGAGAGCTGAGAGAGCTGAGAGTGAGAGAGAGAGATAGATGTCAGATGTGAGATGTGCAAACGTGAGACGCGCAGATGTATATGGCACCTTCTTTTTTTAGAAGAATCCTGCGCTCAGACGCTCTCGGGAACTAATGGACCAAGAAAAAGAGTGATAAAGATAACTCTTGTTGCATTACATGAAACAAATCCTATCTTAGGATTGTCCCGGGCCATCCCTTGTCTCCTTTGATACCGCCTCGCTTGCTATACTGAGCGATTGCACAAGGATGTTTCCGGCCGCTGTGCCAGACACTCCTGGAACTTTGCAACTGGATGTTTGAAGCAAACGCACTCCGCAAAACATTCCAAACACCCTCGTGCAACACACTCCAGACGTGTCACGACGCTAGCGTCCTTCCGGAAGCTGGACGGAATTTAGCAGCGTGCTGCTGCTCGTCGTGCTGCTGCTGAAAGTGGTGCTGGAGGTCCTCATGCAATCTGTTTGACACCAACCACAATCTACCACTCAAAATTGGCATTCTGACCTCAAGGAGTTCTTGCAAGGCGTGTGGGTCCCGGCCGGGTAACCTAAGGGCTGGACCCTCATACTATTGTGAGATCAACATCTATTTGTGTATCACAAAGTATCCATAACCAATGTTTTATCCATGATTGATGTTTTGTTCAGTGATCTATGAATCTATCCATTGATCCACATATGTGATAAAGTGAATAGCATCCATAATCATACCCGCTGTTTATCAATGGGTTTCATTCCTCCCTGCCGCTGCCGTTGCCGTCCTGCTGCTGCTGGAGCTGCTGCTGCTGGTCGCCGTGGTCACGGTGTGACTTCGGCTCGAGGAGGTCGACGAAGTGCTCGAAGTGCTGGAGCTGGTCTTCGAGGTTCGGCCTCGAATTGTGGCACTGGGTGGATCGGGTTGGCTCACGTGGAAATTCCATATGGACACGCAGAAAAAAATCCTTTGCTTGGGGAAACTAAGGGACCATTCTCTTCAACAAAAACATGACACTCATTGACCACAGAGGGAAACGATGCCATGACGTGTCCAATGCGTGTGGGTTTATGTGGTATATGCATGTCACGCATCGACCCAGATAGCAGTGCCTGGTTTTACCACGGAAAGTGGTCGCAAAACCGGTGACTTTTGCATTGCTGGTAAGCCCAGCGTGCTGAGTGAAAAAACAATGCTTTTTTCCCGAATGCGTAGCGAAGGGTTCCCGTAAATAGTCTGGGGGTCTGGGGGCTGGACCCGTGTTTGCGTTGCGTTTGCATCGCTTGCCTCGTGCTGTGCCTAAAGGAAGTGCCACAAAACGTGTTGTTTTGATGTAGCTCTGACGTTGTCAAAATGCGCTGTGCCTATAGGAAGTGCTGTAAGTCGTCGCCTCGTCGTCGCCTCGTCGTCGTGACGGCCGTCACGCTGTGCCTCTGTAAGGTGCTGCCAAACGTGTCGTTTTGACGTAGCTTTGATGTTGCGCGAATGCGCTGTGCCTATAGAAAGTGCTTCAAAACTAGGGTGTGTAGCTGTGCCTCTAGGAAGTGCCGCAAGACCTGTCGTTTTGCGACTCTGGAATGACGCTGTGCCTCTACAAAGTGCTGTGCAACGTGTCGTTTTGACTCAGCTGTGACATGCGTTCTGCAAGCTTAGTCGTGCAGAGTAGTACTGGGAAGTACGTTTCTGCAAACTTTGCAGTGCAAAGTAGTACTGGGAAACTGGGAAGTGTGTTTCTGCAAGCTTTGTAATACAAACGTACAAAGTCGTAGTGCGACAAACGTTTCTGCAAGCTTTGCAGTACAAAGTAGTACTTGGAAGTACGTTCCTGCAAGCTGTGTAGTACAAAGTAGTAGTACGTTTTTGCGAACTTTGTAGTCAAAAGAAGTACTGGGAAATACGTTTCTGCAAGCTTTGTAGTACAAAGTAGTAGTACGTTTTTGCGAACTTTGTAGTCAAAAGAAGTACTGGGAAATACGTTCCTGCAAGCTTTGTAGTACAAAGTAGTAGTACGTTTTTGCAAACTTTGTAGTCACAAGAAGTACTGGGAAATACGTTCCTGCAAGCTTTGTAATGCAAGGTAGACTGGGAAGTACGGTTTTGCAAGCTTTGTAGTACAAAGTAGTACTGGGAAGTACGTTTTGGCAGGCTTTGTAGTACAAAGTAGTACTGGGAAGTACGTTCCTGCAAGATTTGTGGTACAAAGTAGTACTGAGAAGTACGTTTCTGCAAGCTTTGTAGTACTACTGAGAAGTACGTTCCTGCAAGCTTTGTAGTATAAAGTAGTACTGGAAAGTGTTTGTGCAAGCTTTGTACTGCAAAAGTAGTACTGGGGAGTACGTTTTTCAAGCTTTGCAGTGCAACAAAAATACTGGGAAGTACGTTTTTCCAAACTTTGTAGTACAAAGTAGTACTGGGAAGTACGTTTTTGCATGGTTTGTAGTACAAAGTAATACTGGAAAGTACGTTCCTGCAAGCTTTGTAGCACAAAGTGGTAGTAAATGTTTGCAAGCTTTTTAGTACCAAGTAGTACTGGGAAGTACGTTCCTGCAAGCTTTGTAATCCAAAGTAGTACTGGGAAGTGCGGCTTTGCAAGCTTTGTAGTACAAAGTAATACTGAGAAGTACGTTCCTGCAAGCTTTGTAGTATAAAGTAGTACTGGAAAGTGTTTGTGCAAGCTTTGTACTGCAAAAGTAGTACTGGGGAGTACGCGAGCTTTGCAGTACAAAAAAATACTGGGAAGTACGTTTTTCCAAGCTTTGTAGTACAAAGTAGTACTGGGAAGGACGTTTCTGCAAGCTTTGTCAAAGGAAGTTTAGAAGTCTATACTTCCCTGTAACGGACGTTTGAAAAGCATAGCACACGGATGTTAAAGCAAATGAATGTCAGAGCAAAGGGATTTCGGAGCAAAGGGATGTCAGAGCAAAGAGATGTCAGAGCAAAGGGATGTCAAAGCGAAGGGATGTCACAGCTAAGGGGTGTCAAAGCAAAGGGATGTCAGAGCAAAGGGATGTCAAAGCAAAGGGATGTCAGAGCAAAGGGATGTCAAGGCAAAGGGATGTCAGAGCAAAGGGATGTCAGAGCAAAGGGGTGCCAGAGCAAAGGGATTTCGGAGCAAAGGGGTGTCAGAGCAAAGGGATGGCAAGGCAAAGGGATGTCAGAGCAAAGGGATGTCAGAGTAAAGGGATGCCAGAGCAAAGGGATGTCATGGCAAAGGGATGTCAAGGCAAAGGGATGTAAAAGCAAAGGGATGTCAGAGCAAAGGGATGTCAAAGCAAAGGGATGTCAAAGCAAAGGGATGTCAGAGCAAAGGGGTGTCAAAGCAAAGGGATGTCAGAGCAAAGGGATGCCAGAGCAAAGGGATGTCACAGCTAAGGGATGTCAGAGCAAAGAGATGTCAGAGCAAAGAGATGCCAGAGCAAAGGGATGTCAAAGCAAAGGGATGTCGGAGCAAAGAGATGTCAGAGCAAAGGGATGTCAAGGCAAAGGGATGTCAAAGCAAAGGGATGTCAGAGCAAAGGGATGTCATGGCAAAGGGATGTCAGAGCAAAGGGATGCCAGAGCAAAGGGATTTCGGAGCAAAGGGATGTCAGAGCAAAGGAATGTCAGAGCAAAGGGATGTCAGAGCAAAGGGGTGTCAGAGCAAAGGGATGTCAGAGCAAAGGGATGTCAGAGCAGAGGGATGCCAGAGCAAAGGGATGTGAAAAGCAAAGCGATGTCAGAGCAAAGAAGTCTGGCACGAAAGCTTTCACACCTTCAACATTTAGATTTTGAGGGATGTCTCGCACCAAAGCTTCGTTTTCACATCTTCCACTTCCAGATTTTGAGGGACGTCGCGCACGAAAGCCTCGTTTTCACATCTTCCACTTTCAGATTTTGGGGGATGTCTCTCGCACGAAAGCATCCTTTTCACATCTTCCACTTTCAGATTTGGAGGGAGGTCGCTTGCGAAACCTTCGTTTTCACATCTTCCCCTTTCAGATTTTCAGGGATGTCTCTCGCACGAAAGCATCCTTTTTACATCTTCCACTTTCAGATTTGGAGGGAGGTCGCTTGCGAAAGCTTCGTTTTCACATCTTCCCCTTTCAGATTTTGAGGGACGTCTCGCACGAAAGCCGCGTTTTCACATCTGCCACTTTCAGATTCTGAGGGACGTCTCGCACGAAAGCTTCGTGATCACATCTTCAACTGTCGGAATTTGGAGGGACGTCTCGCACGAAAGCTGCCTCTTCACATCTTCCACTTTCAGATTTTGAGTGAAGTCTCGCACGAAATGCGTTTTTGAAAGTTAGCGGATGCACGAAATGCTGTGTTTTGCAGGACAAAACGTGTCCCGGAAGATGGGTGGGGAAGCTTTTCCGGCCGGCGGTTTTGAAACACGCTCGATCCGACCATGATCCGCCACGCTGTGGAACGGCCGCTTCAGGTGACATTTTGCCAACTTGAAGTTGTTGGTTTTTGAAGGAAGTCTCGCACCACAGCTTCGTTTTCACATCTTCAACTTTCACTTCTTGAAGGAAGTCTCGCACCAAAGCTTCGTTTTCACATCTTCAACTTTCACTTTTGGAGGGACGTCTCACGCCAAAGCTTCCTTTTCACATCTTCCACCTTTAGATTTTGAGGGACGTCTCGCACCAAAGCTTCGTTTTCACATCTTCCACTTCCAGATTTTGAGGGACGTCTCGCACCAAAGCTTCGTTTTCACATCTTCCACTTTCAGATTTTGGAGGGACGTCTCGCACGAAAGCTTCGTTTTCACATCTTCCACTTTCACTTTTTGAGCGAAGTCTCGCACGAAATGCGTTTTTGAATGTTAGCGGTGTTTTGCAGGACAAAACGTGTCCCGGAAGATGGATGGGGAAGCTTTTCCGGCGGGCGGTTTCGAGACACGCTCGTTTGAACCGGGATCATGGTCGGATCGGCCGCGCAGTGGAACTGACAGTTCAATTGTTCCCGAGAGCGTCTGAGCGAAGGGTTCTTCTAATAGTGGGGGTCTGTGATAACATCTTCAAATCTTCACATCTTCTCATCTTCACATCTTCTCATCTTCACATCTGTTCATCTTCACATCTGTTCATCTTCACATCTTCTCATCTTCACATCTGTTCATCTTCACATCTTCAGATTCTCTCTTGCCCTCTTGCTCTCTTGCCCTCATGCTCTCTTGCCCTCTTGCTCTCTCCTTCTTTTCTATTTCTCTCTTGAAGGCGCAGGGCAGTGCCAACGAGACGGCACGAAACGCAACCCTTTCGCACGAAATGAGGTTCGATCGCCCAAAACTGCGGTAAAATTGCGATTTCCGGGTTCCCGTCGCAACCCTTTCGCACGAAATGATGTTCGATCGCCAAAAACTGGGGTAAAATTGCGATTTCACGGGTCCGGTCGCAACCCTTTCGCACGAAATGATGTTCGATCGCCAAAAACTGCGGTAAAATTGTGATTTCTGGGTTCCCGTCGCAACTCTTTCGCACGAAATGAGATTCGATCGCCGAAAACAGGGGGGTAAAATTGCGATTTCAAGAAATGATGTTCGATCGCCAAAAACTGGGGTAAAATTGCGATTTCTCTTGTCCGGGCGCAACCCTTTCGCACGAAATGAAGTTTGATCGGCAAAAACTGGGGTAAAAGTGCGATTTGCAAGTTGTCCGGGCGCAACCCTTTCGCACGAAATGAGGTTCGATCGCCAAAAACTGCGGGAAAATTACGATTTCACGGGTTGGTCTTTGTGTGTGAAAGTGTTTGTGTGTAAAAGCTTCTGTGTGTGAAAGCTTCTGTGTGTAAAAGCCTCTGTGTGTGAAAGTGTTTGTGTGTAAAAGTGTAAAAGCGTTTGTGTGTAAAAGCCTCTGTGTGTGAAAGTGTGTGTTGTGTGCAAAAGTGCCTGTGTGTAAAAGCGTCTGTGTGTAAAAGTCTCTGTGTGTGAACGTGTCTGTGTGTCAAAGTGTCTGTGTAAAAGTCTCTGTGTGCAAAAGCGTGTGTTTGTAAAAAGTTCTGTGTGTCAAAAACTAGACGAAATTTACGATGCAAACTATGGTCTTGTGTTTGTGATATATTGTCTTGATACTATTCTTCTCGTCTGCCTATAATACAATTTTAATATATTGTCTTGTAATATAGTGTCTCCATACTAACAACAGAAGACTCTGCTCCTCTACGCTCTCGGGCCATCCGTCGTCTAGTGTTTTGCAGCCCGGTCTTTGCAGATCGGATTGTAATGGCTGCGTCAAGGTTGCTTGGCGCCCCGGCTGCGTGCGTAATACTATTGTCTTTTGCAGCTGGACCTCGTAAATCGTATTGGAATGGCTCCATCAAGGTTGCGATAGTGATTTGTCAGCAGATTTTCTCAATTCTGGCGCTGGTGATTTTCCTTTTTCAATTTTCTTTTAGAAAGTGCTTGAAAATCGCATTATTTTTTTGCTCTGGCGCCGAGATCCGGTTTTCGAGCTGCAAATTCTGACGTTGTTGCGCATAGCTCTATTGTGATTTGCAGCTCAGTCTCTGCAGATTGCATTGTAATGGCTGCGTCAAGGTTGCTTGGTGCCGCGGCTGCGTGCGTAATACTATTGTCTTTCGCAGCTGGGCATCGTAAATCTTATTGGAATGGCTGTGCATCAAGGCTCCACTAGTGATTTATGAGCAGATTCTCAATTTTGGCGTTGATGATTTTCCTTTTAAAATTCCTTTTAAAAAGTGCTTCAAAATCTTCTTTTGTTGCTTTGGCACCGAGATCTGTCTGGTTTTGGAGCTGCAATTTCTGGCATCGTTGTGCGAAAAGGCTTGTGTGTGAAAAAGCTTCTGTGTGTAAAAGCTTCCGTGTGTAAAAACTTCTCTCTGGAAAAGCTTGCTGTGTGTAAAATCTTCTCTGTGTAAGGTAGGGGCCTCTCTGTATGGAGGCTCGCTGTGTGTAAAAGCTGTGTAAAGGCTTCTCCGTGTAAAAGCTTCTGTGTTTTAAACTTTCTGTGTGCAAGCTTTTCTGTGTAAAACCTTCTTTGTGTGAAAGCTTGCTGTGCGTAAAAGCTTCTCTGTGCACAGGCTTCTCTATGTAAAAGCTTCTGTGTGTAAAAGCTTGCTGTGTGTAAAAATCTTCGCTGTATAAAGCCCTCTCTGTGTAAAAGCTTCTCTGCGCAAAAGCTTGCTGTGTGTAAGAACTTGCTGTGTGTAAAAGCTTGCTCTGTGTAAAAGCTTGTTGTGAGTAAAATCTTCCCCGTCTCTGTGTACAAGCTTCCCTGTCTCTGTGTAAAAGCTTCCCTGTGTCTGCGTAAAAGCTTCTGTGTGTACAAGCTTCTCTGCGCAAAAGCTTGTTGTGTGTAAAGGTTCTCTGTGTCAAATCTTCTCTGTGGAAAGCGTAGGGGTCGCTTGCTTTGGCACCGAGATCCTTGTTTGGAGCAGGGTTTGGGCCCAGAGAAGAGCTGAGATGATTTGAGAGTGCGCTGAGAAGTGCTGAGATGAGGTGTGACGAGCTGACAAGAGCTGAGATCAGCTGAGGAGATGTGAGAAGAGCTTAGAAGATGTGAGAAAAGGAGAGAGATGAGAAGACAAAAGATGAGCTGAGATGAGCTGCGGAGAGTTGAGAAGAGTTGAGAAGAGTTGAGAAGAGTTGAGAAGAGTTGAGAAGAATTGTGAAAATCTGAGAAAAGCTGAGATGAGATGAGAAGAGATGAGAAAAGCTCAGGTGACATGAGAAGAGATGAAAACAGTTGTGATCAGCTGAGAAGAGCTGAGAAAAGGAGAGAAGACATGAGATGGGATGAGATGAGATGAGGTGAAAAAAGCTGAGAAGAGATGAGATGGGATGACACAGCCCGCGGTGACAGTGGGATGCAATGACAACAATTTCCAAGAGAAGCTGCGATGCGATGAGGTCAGATGAAATGAGAAAAGGTTCCACATTCAAAAGACATAGCATAAGATTGACAAGTCGAGAGCTTGTTGCTGCGCAGGACAGGAGTCTTGTCTGTCACCTATAGGCACAGCCTTTGCCCCGCTCTAAAGGTTTTAAGCGTTTCAAATTTGAAACTTCCGCCCCCGGCTTGCCCGGGTACTACTTGTAGTGCAAAGTAGTACTGGGAAGTACAGTTTTGCAAGCTTTGTAGTACAAAGTAGTACTGGGAAGTACGCTCTTGCAAACTTTGTAATACACTCTGCTTTGACACGGAGTCAGAAACCAGTCAGAAACCGCTTGTTAGACACTCTGCCGCGACGCAGAGTCAGAAACCTGTCAGAAGCCTCTTATTAGACCTGCTGCTGCAACGCTGAGTCAGAAACCAGCCAGAAACCTCTTCTTAGCCACGCCGCCGCGACGCTGAGTCAGAAACCAGTCAGAAACCTCTTGTTAGACATGCGGCACTGAATCAGAAGCCAGTCAGGAACCTCTTGTTAGACACGCTGCTGCGGCACTGAGTCAGAAACCAGTCAGAAACGTCTTGGTAGACACGCTGCTGCGGCACTGAGTCAGAAACCAGTCAGAAACGTCTTGGTAGACACGCTGCTACGACGCTGAGTCAGAAACCAATCAGAAACCTCTTGTTAGACATGCTGCTGCGACGCTGAGTCAGAAACCAGTCAGAAACCTCTCTGCTGCGACACTGAGTCAGAAACCAGTCAGAAGCCAGGCGGAAACTAGTCAGAAACCAATATTCGTGGAAGACACGAACCTAGTACATGATTGCAGTCCTGAAAGAGTGTCAAGTAAGAGTGTTCCACAAGAGTGTCATGCAAGAGTGTCCCCAAAGAGTGTCAAGCAGGAGTGTCTCCAAAGAGTGTGAAGCGAGAGTGTCCCATAAGATTGTCAAGCGAGAGTGTCCCCAAAGAGTGTCAAGCAAGAGTGTGTCCCACAAGAGTGTAAAGCAAGAGAGTCAAGCATCACGGTCCATGGACAAAACGTGGCATGCATTCGGGTTGGTGGCTTCCATCTTGTTTTATTCCCCAAACAGCGTGGCCACACTGAGGGGTTGTTACGGTAACAGTTAAGGCCCGGTGTTCAATCGAGGTGGTATCGGAAGCGTCCGGAATTTTCCCTGTAAATTTCCGCGCAAAATGCCTCTTGTGACGTGTCCATGTGCATATCGACTGCGCAGGCTCACACAACATGCTTGCCGCGGGATTAGCGCCCGGCATTTTCCCTGTAAAGTTCTGCACAAAATGCCTCTTCTGACATGTCAACGTGCATTTCGACTGCGCGGGCTCGCACAAAATGCTTGCCGTGGGATTCGCGTCCTGCATTTTCCCTGTAAATTTCTGCACAAAATGCCTCTTCTGACGTGTCCATATGCATTTCGACCGCGCAGGCCCGCACAAAGTGTGCTTCACGGTCTTGGGATCGGTCTTCCTCCTCAACATCACCCTCCTCAATATCATCATCTTCCTCCTCCTCTTCAACATCAACATCATCATCTTCCTCTCACCCTCATCTTCATCACCGTCATCGTCATCATCATCATCATCATCATCACCATCATCGCCATCATCATCATCATCATCAACATCAGCATCATCATCAACATTATCACCAACATTAACATCATCATCAGCATTATAATACATTGTCCTTTTACTCCCCCCACACTCTTTGGGGTCTCTTGCTGGGATATTTCTTTAGGGGGATATTTTTAGGGACTCAGATGTGTTGAGATGCTTGATGTAGAGCTGGTTGAAGTCTCCGTGGAAGTCGAACTCACTGATGTGGTGGATGTGCTCGAAGATCGTGTGGTTGAAGATGTAAATGTATGCGATGCGGTGCTTGACGTTAATGACGTCATCGAGACGGTGGATGAAGTGCTGCTGCTGGACATGGTGCTGCTGCTGGACATGCTGCTGCTGCTGCTGCTCGTGCTACTTCTTGAGCGTGTGGATGAGGAACTGGTCGAACTGCTTGTGCGGCTGACAGAACTGGATGTAGACCATGTTGCCGATGCAGAGGTTGAGGTAGAGGTGAATGCCGCCGTTGAGGATGTCGAGGATGTAGCAGTTGAGATGGCGGTCGATGACGTAGTCGTAATTCTAGTACTTGACGTGGAGGACAATGGCAATGTGGAGGTTGAGGTTGAGGAATGCGATGATGATGACGATGTGGAGGTTGAGGATGAGGCGGATGAGGATGACGATGGTGAGGATGTGGTTGACGACGTGGAGGTTGAGGATGAGGAGGATGAGGATGAGGATGATGAGGATGTGGTTGACGACGTGGAGGTTGAGGAGGATGAGGATGAGGATGATGAGGATGTGGTTGACGACGTGGAGGTTGAGGATGAAGAGGATGAGGATGATGAGGATGTGGTTGACGACGTGGAGGTTGAGGATGAGGAGGATGAGGATGAGGATGATGAGGATGTGGTTGACGACGTGGAGGTTGAGGATGAAGAGGGTGAGGATGATGAGGATGTTGTTGACGACGTGGAGGTTGAGGATGACGAAGAGCTAGATGTGGTAATCACTAGGATGCCAGAATCCGTGCTCGGACTACCTAGTGATTGTGTGATGGCAAACTCGCCCGTGTCATATTTCTGGTAGCAGTGCGTGTCATGGATCCACACCCACGCGACACCTCGGCTGCGGACTGGCCTTGAAAAATGTAACTCCCGCAAAAAGCATCTGCAAAATGGTGCAAGCCTCGTGCAATGGAAATAAGAGTCAAAATGATATGTTGGGTCTATCTACCATAGATAAATCTCTCTTTCAAGACTGGCATGTAGATAAACAAATACATTGTAAAAACGATATATATATATTCCAAATCTAGCCAAATATCAAATAATATTATATATATATCCTGATTTTATATCATTGAGTATTATATGTATAGAATTGTAAAGACATGTATGTGATATATATAATAAATAAGTAAATAAATACATACATAAATACATAAATAAAATAAATAAATAATAAACAAACAAACAAACAAAGAAACAAAATAAATAAATAAATAAATAAAATGTATATATATATATATATTATATAAAGCAGACTTTCAAAGCAGTAACATCAATAATCCTGAACCTCTCCACGCCCAAAGCACATGGAGGATTGTCCGCACTTTGAGAGGTGCAAATATCGCAGCACTCCTGCGGTCCTGCAACGGGCCTCATGTTGGCAGGCACTAACCAATCACTGAAATGGATGCGATGAACTTGGGATATCCGGGATATCCGTTTGGAATCGGTGAAAAAACAGCAATTAAACCATGTCATGGGAATTACGTGGAAACACCATGAAAAGTAAAAAACATATACTATATTCTTATACAACACGCTGTAGAAAAATACACTCTAACAACCACAAACAACACTAAAGCTGGTGGGATAAATGCCACCAGGCCAAGCTGCCATTCGACATTCTCTGCACCGGTCCAGCCGATGTTGCTGTTGGCCACGAAAGCACACATTTCAGCAGCAGTCCTAGGACATGTCATCGCTTCACTTCAAAAACTCGGTTTCTGAATATGTTGATGTATGTTTGATGCGGTTTTATGTCAGAACACAGATCACGGCACTGTACGACCCACGTTGCTTACGTTCCAAGAAGCCGATCTGGATCAAGGGCAACGGCGGCGCCCAGAAACATCAGGGTCGGCCATGGCCACGATGGCATTAGTCCTGTCATCCCTCTAACGCCGATGCACTTTGGCACGCTGGCAACAGGCTTTGTTGTGGTGGCTTGGTAAGCAACATTAAGCACATACACTTTTGAATCAGCAAACTTGACGGATTGGAACTGAGGCATTCTCTTCAGGCGCCTGATGGGTGAAACTGGCTATTTGAACCAGCATGTACCAGGTCACCAAAATGTCACAACACCGTGGAAGCAAACTGATGCCCTGACCTGGCCTGTGAAATCTATGATACAAGCGCAACAGTGCAGAGTGATGCAGGCGTCAGGCAGCAAAAAACACACTGGGAACACGTTGAACATCACCATTTAGTATCCGTTTATGTCACTTTCAAGGTCGCTGCAAGCATCCAAAGAGGACACGCGCAAAATCACGTGTGTCAAAGCAAAAACATGACAAATAGTACTACAGCTTGGACATGAAAACAAAAACCTGGAGGGTTTCAATTTGCGGTATGTGGGCAAAGGCAGTCTTCCTTTTGAACGTTGTATCCATCAAATCTGTACTGAGGCAAGGGCGCGCCGGTCCAATCAAAAACGGCTGTTCGCTCATTCTCCCGATCTACGAGCAAGTGCAGAAGCTCAACCCGGCAGAAACCTAAATCTTCGATGTGTTTCACTGTCTCCCTGAGCCACTTCTTCACTGCATTGGGGCGCCGTCCGCAACGCAGCCGTAGGATGGCCGTTCCATCAGCTGCCAACGCTGTGGAGCCGCTGCTTTTTTCGATGAAGTGACGCAAGGCTACGACGGCTTCCTTTTCGGTGCTGCCGATGTCCACAAGTAGCAAATCCACAGCGAGGGTCTGATGCACACCCTGCGCACCATTTGACCGAAACCAGTTTCCTCTCAAAGGATTCAACTTCACATCGACTGGATCTGCTGCCCCTACCCACCCTGAAGTGCACTGAGAAGTGATGGTTGCAACGGGCAAGTCGCAGCACTGCTGTAAAAAAGACTCCGTTTTTGGACGGACAAGATCTGTCCAAAGTGCTGCTGCAGTTTTGCCTTTGAAGCGCCTGGGCCATCGCGACAGAACTTCCTGAAAACGAAGCAGGGCACGTTCATCTTGAACTTTGCACGCCTCTGACCAGGCTGCTGGATCCAATCTTTGACGAGGGGAAATGGAAAAATAAAACGCATCACATGCATCTGCAACCGTCAAAACATGAGAGAAATGAGTTGGAGAAAGCAACTCTTGAGGCAACAGCTCGCAAATCGTTCTCTCCAGATTCCGGGGTTTGGCCAAAATTCTCAAAGTTGAAGCCTTGCAGTGAGGTTCAGCGCTGGCAGAAGCCATCCTGTCAAACACTGCTGTGGTAAGCTTGGTCATATCATGTTCAACGCGTTCACTCAAGGGCAAAAATCGGGTCACAACCCTCTGCAGAATCACGTCTTTAGCGAGTTGACGCATTAACTGATGAAGTCTTTCTAAGTCTTCAGTTGTGCAAAACAAAGTGTTCTTGGCACAGCCGCCAATGGGTGAATCCATGGTGACGGACAACAGGGGCCATTCTTCTGAAGCCTTCAAGGCCAAAAAGTAAGCTGCCAAACGTTCGATCAAACTGGAGGAAGCTGCTGGGTCCACCTCAACCAGCAGGTGGAACTTCCAAGTGTTGCTGCCAAGGCTTGATGATGAAATGTTGAAAGATGAAGTTGGAGGCACTGCCAGCAACAAGACGTTGTCCGGTGAGATGTCTTTACTGCAGTACTCCACTGCTGCAACCCGAAAGCCATGGGACTCCAAACGGGCCAGGCGTGCTTCATCCAGGATACAACGCACCTTGTGACCCAGCTCCACATCATCATGCATGGCATCACGTAAGTGCCAGCGGATGCAAGCATTGGGCCCACCACGCGCCAAACGAAGGGCGTCTATCAACAGATCAAACTCCTGCATTCCACCGGGGAAACCTGCCTCCGCCAGCCATTTCTTGGTATCTGCACACAGCTGGTCCCACTTCATGGTCACATGGCAACATGGCGCCAAACACAGCAGGTCCAGCTTCTCGCCCAATTTCATAGCCAGCGACAAAGCTTCATCTGAACCATGACCGCAAAGATGCTTTGCAACCACTGCGATATGTTTGGCTTCGGGTAACTCTGACAGCTATCCTCCGTGAAATTGGCGATCTCCGCTTGGATGCGATGGGTTTCAGTTGTCAACCCCGTATCATCCAGGTGGGTGTCAAATGCATCAGTGTTGCCACGGCGATCTATGGCTACCAGGGGGCACTTGCTGGCCAAACTGATCGTCTGACCCAAGATCCCTTGCCCTGCCCCCAGTTCCACCACCAAATCTCCAGTGAAATTCTGCAAGCACAGTGATGCCATGGATTCGATCTGATTTCGGTGCTTCAAAGCTTTGGCCTCTTGGAATGTGGCGCGGGTGCTTCGAGAAATCACAGTGTTCAGGGCTGTGCTCACGGCCTCGTTTGGCTCATAGCGACTGCAGTGCACAGGTCTGACTTCGCATTGCTTCAGCCAGGGCAACACCGCCTGAATCAGCTCATCTCGTCGCTCCTTCGACATGGCCACCGGTGATGGCTCCGCATGATGACGTGGACGCAGCAAATAAAGACCAATGGGTGACCTGAATGAAAGGAAAAACGTTGAGGAATTATTCAAGTAACATGATTTCTCTAGTCACATGTGCGAAATTCAATCACTTGCAATGGTACTGTGTGTCTGTGTTACCATCGTGGCCAGCCAATCTCGCAAACAGGTTGCAAGTATCGAGGGCATGGTAGCCAAAGCTGCAGCCCACGCAGAGGATGAAGTTTCTATCATCTCTGAATAGAAGACATGTCAAATTCTTCCCAGTGATAGCGTTGCAAGGCCGACACTTGGAAGCGGTAACTTTCCCAGTGCAAGTAAGCAGAAGTTGTGTCCCATTGTGAATGCATTATGCTCCAAGTGCAGGCTGGACCAGTCAAAAGACATTGCCAATTACAATCTTTTTAAATGTGTCGGTGACCGCTCGCTGGACCTGCCAAGAATGACTCCAAACACTTGTCACTTAGTAATGGTCCCCAAGCAGAGCCGGTAATGGCCTTCTATTAATTTAATAAAAAGGATAAAACGGATCAAACATATGACAGGAGAGTCAGGAACATATCATTATTGGCATAAACATATTGTAAATTGTAAAGCTACATCATCCCCAACATGCACTACCATTTTTCTGGAATCTGTTCATTGGCCATGTGACTCCAAGCCCTTGGCATTAACAAAGTCTCACGTTGCTTTGCGACGCGGACGATGCACCGAATACTCATCGAATCGTTCTTCCAAATCCAGGTTTAAACGATCAAAGCGGCGATGCTCTAATCGACGTTGCCTCCCCCGTGCTGGGGATTCCATGGCAGCTTGCGCAGCTTGTTTGAAATCCAGGCGATATAATGGACCAGTGGCACCAGGGACGCGCTCCAAGTCTCTGAAGTCTCTGAAGTCTCTGGCAACGGGCTCCTGGCACTGTGGACGCTCCATGGGAATGATTGGGTCAGGCCGTTTTGGAGATGGTGAGGCATCTGAATCCCAAGGTCTTCTGCTGGGAGTGGATCTGGAGACTCGCGGTTTCACAGCCTCTGGCCGTTGGTTCAAGCCCCGGCGGGGCTGCAAGTCACGCAATGATTCCACGAGCTCCAGGGCGAAGCTTTCCACAGAAGTCATCAATTGTTGGATGGCATCAATGGAGAGCTTATCCCGTAAACGTCGCGCTAAATCTTCCAGGAGAGCAACTTGGCTGAAGCCTCGGGAGGGGCTTTGACCTCCACTCCTGGCCTCATGCAAGAGAAGCTCTGCTAAGCGGAGGAGTTCTTGCCGAGCAGGATTTAAGCAAGACCTGGAGTTGAAATCCCACTCGGCTGCCCCCCAAAAAAAGCAAACTGAATCAGTGGTATTGCCGTGTGAAACCTGAGACCTGAAACCCGAGCTCCACCACAAAACGTTCTTTGTGAAAAGCGCTACCCTTGAAAAAAATATACCCCAGGCCCCAATCCAAAACAACTTTGGTTTAAGAACTGCAAAGTCTGCTAAAGCATTGTCTGGAATCGTCTGAAGGCTTTGCAGCTTCTGCTGTGCTTGACGATGTTCACGAGCTTCCCCTTCCCAAGCTACTTGCAAAGCTTCACTGACCACTGTAGCTTTGTGCCGATCTTCGGACTCGCCTTGCTCGGTCTCAAAGCTTTTGTTTCCATCTCTCTCTTTTGCCCCTTTCGCCTTTTCAAGGCTCAACTGTGAAGTTTCCAGCTGCTGCCGCAGCTGCAAATTCTGCTGATTCATCTCTTCCAATTCGGCCCAACCATCACGTTGAGCTGCCACTTCTGATTGAAGCCATGCGATGGCCTGGGAGGAATCAACCAATTCCCGTGCCACATTCATGGCTTTGTTCTCAATGTTGGCCCCTTGGCGTTGGCTGTCCGCCAAACGTTGCGCTAAGCTGCTCTCGGCCCGGCGCATCTTTTCACATTGACGGAGTTCGGCATTCAGCTCCTCCATCTCACTTTGCATCTCCTGGGGGCTGTGTTGAGAGAGGGAAACGGAAGTATAAGACATAGGATCGCCACAAAAAAAATCGAACACATAATGGCAAGAACACGGAGCTTGGAACTACAGCAACTACAGCAACTACAGCAACTAGCCGTCGGCACGGGAAAGTATTACCTAGAAACTGCACCAAGCGTCGGCTTCCACTTCCTTCAGCTCTTCTTCTTTTATTTCTTTCATCTCCCTCTCCTTCTTCTCCTGTTCTCTTCGGAACTTCTTCTCCTGCTCCCTCTGTTGCTGCAAGCGTCCTTGTAGCTCCTTCATCCAGGGAAAGGGGTTTGGATCGGCAAAATGGAAAAGATCAACGGCCAAATGGAGCGGTGTAAATTGTGTCTGCACAATGCTTTGTCAGGCAGTTTTTCATCCAATCTATAAAATAACTTTACTTCGGGTGACCCCCACCATGGCATTGCAAGGCATATATTCTGACATTTTACCTATCATTCTATCTGACATCTCTTCTGACATTCTATCAGCCATCCTTTCTGGCATTCTATCTGGCATCTATTCTGGCATTCTATCTGGCATCTATTCGATTCTGGCATCTATTCTGGCATTCTATCTGACATCTATTATACATTCTGACATTCTATCTGGCATTCTCTCTGACGTTCTCTTCAGTTGGGGAAGCGGACAAGAAGGGAACAAGAGAGAAGTCGAGGGAAGGGGAGGAGCTCCGTGCCCCAGTACAAGCCCTCAGCTACAAGTCCCATTGCAAGACCCGCAGCATTGTTTAGCGCGGGGAACACTTTGCTCCAGAGGTTGCTGCTCGGGTCCGGCGGGTAACGCTGCGATCTAGCGCTTGCAGTTGAGGTCCGGCAGAGGAGGCGGAAGAGAAGGCGGAAGAGGAGGAGGACGAGGAGGCGGAGGTGGGACAGCTGACGTAAAATCTAACAACCATCAACTGACAGGTGGGGAAAAATGCAAGGTGTCAAAAGGACAAAGGCTGGAAGCACTTGCAATCCTCTTGGCCTGATCTCGTTTTGATCTTCTCAAGCCGCAGGTATGCATAGAAGAGCCGATCGGCTCGCAAACCCAGGATTTTCCAGAATAACGGCATGTTATTCATGAATTCATTTGACAAAGATTGAGGCACAACAAGCCAGCAGGTGTGTAACCTTGCCGAGAGATTCCTCTGGAGAGTCTCACTACCAAATATACATGAATTTCTCAGGGTAGCTTAGGACATCTTCCTAAATCACCAGCCGTACATCCAAATGTGACCATCTGACAAGAACCAAGTTATACTGTAATCATCTGGCAGCAATGGTGGACGAATACTTTGTGATTTCTTTCAAACAAAAACATGGGTTTAAAAACTTCCCGAAGTTTCCATCCAAAATTCACCTTTGGAAATCCCAAATGCCTCGCCTTGACGAGTTTCTTGGTACGCTCGCCTTCCACTGCCGAGGCCCGTGCCACGCTGGTGGCTGTGGTCTCGGCCTCTGCCGCAGCGCTGCGCAGGCGCCGCACCAAGGCCTCCGCGACGTGGCAGCGCTGCTCCGCCGCGGTGCTGCGATTGGCCACAGTGCTCAAGGCCGTCTCTTGACCAAAGGCCCGTTCTTCCGCCAAATGCCTTCCAAATAACAAAGATGGGTGACAGGTCAGCATGGGGGAATGGAATACCCCAACAAGTTGAAATTATGCTTGCAATCGTCATGCTTGGTATGTCGCACTCATGTCTTAGGCATCCTGATGAAGCAAAGCCGCCAAGTGGCATATAGTTGTACACCAGCTACTCAGCGTAGAAACTACGAACCCACAAGTTCCAACCATTCTTTTTCGACCTTTTCAGCAGCACATCCTTACCCTTTCCATCATTCCCTGGCCAATCTTCACCTTTGGGCAGCCCAAAACCATGAAATTCTGCTTGCAAACTACAGCGACTTACTTGACACAACCATTTCCTACATGTTGCTTCCTTCCATGGGCCTTTCTGAAGTCAGCTGTTCTTCAGCCTCTTCTGCTACCTGTTTCAGCTTCTTCTCTGAGTCCTCCAACCCGCCAAGTCGTTGCAACAAGGATCGCCTTTCCTGCTGGAGCTGTCGAACTTGTGCGTTGCCATTTTCGATGGACCACTCCTGGGCTGTTTCAACAAACTACTTGTTCCACAAGGGATGAATCAGAATGAAGCACAGTTGCAAGTCTGGGCCATGCAGTGGATGGATTTGGATGGTGCAAAGGGAGGGGAATCAGGACTGCCCCCGCCAACGGCTGTTGATGCTATACCAAGTGTCTGCAATTTATCGATGGTAGCTGCTCAAATGTTGTGGCAGTCAATTCCGTCAGACCGACCCAGAGCTTTGGCAACAGTGGAATCGCTTTTTGATCTCCCAATCTACCAGCTGGCCATCGCTTAGTCAAATCCCTAAAGTCAGTAAAAGCGCTTCAGAGCAAGACACCGCACGCTGATGATATCAATAATCAGTTGAAAGGTGGAAAGTGCTCGGGTACAGATCAACAGCATGAGCCTCAAGGAATTTCACCCAAAAACCTATTACTTACCAGTTGTCAGCAAACTTTTGGTATCAAGATGCTTCAAATTTTTCCCTCCCCATGCTGAACCCTCGAAATCGAAGGCGAGGCGCCAAGGAGGCGTTCTCCGTGCGCAGTGTGGCCAGCTGGGCAGCGCCATCCCGGGCACGTTGCTCCAAGGTGCCGCCCTCGGCAGCCAGTGCTGCCAGCTCTGGGGAGGGCGGAAGACGCTGGAGCCTCCGAATGGAAGATCTTCGAAGAAAAAGTTGATGGGTTCATGGTGGGCTTAAAATTTTTGCCCATGTCCATGAAAGAGAAGCAAAGATAGTGAAACACATTCTTGTAGCGTGCAACAATCATCCATGTTTGAAGATATTTACTTTTGTGAAAAAATGCTGGGAGCTGGTACGTTCTCCAAGTTTGCAAAACCTTGTGTGGATCCCCCCTGGTTTCAGATCACCTTTGGTCATCTTTGGACCATTCAAAAGGTCCTTTATCCAATCCTTTCAGCCCTCGCCTGTCGCGCACCTGCAGCAGTTCCAGCTGTTGTGCCTCTACCTGATCCGCCAAGTCGCAGATCCGTGGCAGGAGCCGAGCGGGGTCGCAACGACATCGGCCCGGAGGACAGCATGGCATGGCTGGGATGTTTCTCTGAGAAAATGTCTGGTAAATCTTCAGACTTGAAGAATACTACTAGCTGCAGTTCAATGCAATCTATCATGGTTTGTTGAATTTCTTTTTCTCCTGAAAATTCCAACCCCCCATGCATTGGTCGAACCCAGGGACCTATCACATCGATTTCCACCATTGAATCTACGATCTATCTGTGCCCAGGAGTCTGCGCAGCATACTTTGGTGCTGTGCCTTGAGACCCGTGGCTATGGCAACATGACAAAATTCAACTGCAGCCCAACTGCAACCTGTAACCGAGCCAGCAAGCTGTTGCAAGGGAGGCTCGGCACACTGTTTATCGTTGAGCATGTCTGACAATGTTTTTTAATTTTAGAGACCCGCTTATGCGCAGTTTTTTTGCAGCAAATCAGCGCCAATCTGGACCCGAAGCAGCACAAGCGGCCTCAGCATCAACCGTAGACATGCCTGATACCTTCAAGCGAACTAAATCCTGCAGGGTGTTTGCCAACCTCCTTAAGTCAGCTGCAAGATCCATCTAGTTGCCAGATTTCTTCGTGATGCGCATCCAAACCTAGGATGTGGAAATCGCAAGGCACAGCTTGTTCAAAAACTTTGGAGAAAGTTTTGCTTCCATGATAGTGAGCAGAAAAGGGTATGGAAACCGGCGTGGTGCATGTTAAGAATTGAGTGGTGCCCCAGAGTGCCCCACAGCATGCAAGCGCCTTTAACTGTTCCATAGCAAGGTCTCAAAGGTAAGGATCCTGCTTGACACCAGCTGTGGCTGGCGCCATGCCAGTACTATGAAGCAGAAAGGTGAACGTCATCGAACCAGAACACATAACAGAATGGCGGCCTCTTTGTTTGTTTGGTTCCAGCCCTGAAACCTTGGTTGACGAAACAACTGACACTTGCGGGCAAATGCAACGTGTTGATGCGGGAAGGCATTACCAGGGAAGCACTGGTGGCAAAGCAACTGTAGCTTATCCTTGACAGAACCCATGGCTTCAAGGCAATGAGATAGACTCATGTTGACAGCAAATTACTATAGCATGACTATAGCAAAGGTTGTAAACCTCTTTTCCCTTGTGGCCACGCTCTATTTTGGACATGGCACAGGGGACAAGTGCCACATTTTGTGGCTGATGTCACCTTGAACATGTTTGCGTGAACATCGTGAACCAACAGCTCCAAGAAATTTTACTACTGCGGCTCGAGATGGCGAACTGATACATCAACATCAGCGAGCGTGACAAAGAGAATGCGTATCATCTTGATGTCAATCATTTTGGCAAATAGGACTTCTACTGTGAAACGCATCAATCTGCTTCCCTGATTTGTTCACGGCACCTGGGTTGCAGGCACAGCAGGTCTTCAAGTGTTTTGCAGACGGTCTTGGCAACAAAATCGTGAAGACAAAAACTTGATGATACCACCATTGGATGAAGCTTGGGTCCCATGTCATACAGGCACAAATGGGAAAGAGCACATCATGGTTCTGAAAGTGCCCGGCTTCCCAAAGACTAAGGAATTTGCTCATGCCAACTTTCCAACTTTGAGACAATGCCCCATCACCACACTCCTGGCATCCCACTGGCTTGCTTGGGTGCCCAGCACGAGCACCACGGCCACTCGTAGTGTTGACTTGGCTCCACTTTGGTTTCAGGTCGGTCAGGCCGGTCACCGTCCACCTGGGATGAGCTGGAGGTGGTGAAACCACAATAGAAATGTGCAGATCATCAACTTTTGGTGGGGGGTCCTTTTAGGGAAATCTTGGGAACGCTTCGCAACAGGTATGGGATCAAGGTTGACGTCTTTAGGGCGTTCAAACTGAGTTAAATGCAATTGTAAAATCATACCATTGCCGGGATCCCAAGCCATCAACACTTGAATGGCCAATTTGAGTGGAACATTCCCGAAAAACCTTCACCCATGCTGTCCCAAGACGAAATCTTATCAGGCCTTGCAATCCATTGAAGGTAACTCTCCCGATTACTCCGTTGGGGGCTACGGTCCCAGAACCCCACTAGAATCACAAAGCTCCATGCCTCAATCCGTATAGCTGGCAGCCGCGGCGCTGCCTGCAAAGGGATTGGTTGAGGGTATCAATCTCTTTGAAGCAATGGGAAAAGGGTTTGTCATGTTCTGGATGGATCCGACGGTTGAATCACTCACCATTAAAATTCTTATTGTTGCCACACAAGGGGAATCGGAATCAAACTTAGGGACAAACTGTGTCTTGAACCCGTGAAGGGACCAGTGGGCGGTCCCACCTTGCTGGCGTTGCCCAGAACCATCCAGCGAAGCTGCAGGCAGGGCAATGGCAGGGATGTGATGCAGACGTGTCAACTGTGTCAACATCTCATGAAGCACGGTCTCCAAGAAATCAAATCTCAATCATGCACCAAGCCGCAAGCCTGATAACGAATCATGCATGGATCACTGACAAGCCGCTGGTGCCCAGTTGAAAGTTGTAAACCGGTTGTTGATCATCACTTCTCCCTCAACAAAAATGGGATCACCTCTCCGGATGTCGTGGACCCGGGGCAGCTTGCCTCCCGTTGCTCGAGCTCTTCCAGCTTCCGCAGTGTGTCAGAAAGCTCTGCGAACTCGGCCTTCTTGGCATCAGCAGAACAGGTTTCTAAAAGTTCCCTAAATGTTCCAAAAAAACTGACTCAAACTTTTAGGACACCATCCAAGAATTGGATAGGAACAAAAAGTCCAGGTTGCAAAAGTGAAGGTCAAAGATGAGGTGATTTTTCCATTATTCCCGAGAGCGTCTGAGCGCAGGGTTCTTCCAATAGTTGGGGTCTGTATCTCATCTTCTCATCTTCACATCTTGTCATATTCACATCCTCTCATCCTCACATCTTCTCATCTTCACATCCTCACATCTTCACATCTTCTCATCTTCACATCTTCTCATCTTCACATCTTCTCATCTTCACATCTTCTCATTTTCACATCTTCTCATCCTCACATCTTCTCATCCTCACATCTTCTCATCTTCACATCTTCTCATCTTCACATCCTCACATCTTCACATCTTCTCATCTTCACATCTTCTCATCTTCACATCTTCTCATCTTCACATCTTCTCATTTTCACATCTTCTCATCCTCACATCTTCTCATCCTCACATCTTCTCATTTTCACATCTTCTCATCTTCACATCTTCTCATCTTCACATCTTCACATCTTCACATCTGCTCAGCTTCACATCTTCTCATCCTCACATCTTCACATCTTCACATCCTCACATTTTCACATCTTCTCCTCTTGCCCTCTTGCCCTCGCATCTTCACATCTTCTCCTCTTGCCCTCTCCTTCTTTTCTATTTCTCTTCTGACGGCGGGGGCAGGGGCAGTGCCAACGAGACGGCACGAAACGCAACCCTTTCGCATGAAATGAGGTCCGATCGCCAAAAACTGCGGTAAAATTGCGATTTCAACTTGTCCGGCGCAACCCTTCGCACGAAATGAGGTTCGATCGCCAAAAACTGCGGTAAAATTGCGATTTCAACTTGTCCGGCGCAGCCCTTTCGCACGAAACGAGGTTCGATCGCCAAAAACTGCGGTAAAATTGCGATTTCAACTTGTCCAGCGCAACCCTTTCGCACGAAATGAGGTTCGATCGCCCAAAAACTGCGGTAAAATTGCGATTTCATGGGTCCAATCCCAACGTTTTCGCACGAAACGAGGTTCGATCGCCAAAAACTGCGTTGAAATTGCAATTTCTCTTGTCCAATCGCGACCCTTTCGCATGAAATGAGGTTCGATCGCGAAAAACTGCGGTAAATTTGTGATTTCCAAGTTGTCCGGCGAAGTGTGTAAAAGGGTCTGTGCGTAAAAGCTTCTTTGTGCAAAAGGGTCTGTGTGTAAAAGCTTCTGTGTGTGTAAAGGGTCTGTGTGTAAAAGCTTCTGTGTGTAAAAGCGTCTGTGTGTAAAAGCTTCTGTTTGTAAAAGCGAAAGCGTCTGTGTGTAAAAGTGTCTGTGTGTAAAAGGGTCTGTGCGTAAAAACTTCTTTGTGTAAAAGGGTCTGTGTGTAAAAGCTTCTGTGTGTAAAAGCGTCTGTGTGTAAAAGTTTCTGTGTGTAAAAGTGTTTGTGTGTAAAAGTGTTAGTGTGTAAAAGTGTTAGTGTGTAAAAGCTATTGTGTGCAAAAGTGTCTGTGTGTAAAAGTGTTTCTGTGTAAAGGCGTCTGTGTGTCAAAGCGTCTGTGTGCAAAAGCGTCTGTGTGTAAAAGCGTCTGTGCGTAAAAGCTTCTTTGTGCAAAAGGGTCTGTGTGTAAAAGCTTCTGTGTGTGTAATTGGTCTGGGTGTAAAAGCTTCTGTGTGTAAAAGCGTCTGTGTGTAAAAGCTTCTGTTTGTAAAAGCGTTTGTGTGTAAAAGCGTCTGTGTGTAAAAGCGTCTGTGTGTAAAAGCGTCTGTGCGTAAAAGCTTCTTTGTGTAAAAGGGTCTGTGTGTAAAAGCTTCTGTGTGTAAAAGCGTCTTGTAAAAGGGTCTGCGTGTAAAAGCTTCTGTGTGTAAAAGCTCCTGTGTGTAAAAGGGTCTGCGTTTAAAAGTGTCTGTGTGTAAAAGCTTCTGTGTGTAAAAGCGTGTGTGTGTAAAAGCGTCTGTGTGTAAAAGCTTTTGTGTGTAAAAGCGTCTGTGTGTAAAAGCTTCTGTGTGTAAAAGCTTCTGTGGGTAAAAGCTTTTGTGTGTAAAAGCGTCTGTGCAAAAGCAACTGTGTGTAAAAGCGTCTGTGTGTAAAACTGTCTGTGTGTAAAAGCGCCTGTGTGTAAAAGTGTCTGTGTGTAAAAGTGCCTGTGTGTAGAAGCGTCTGTGTGTAAAAGTGTCTGTGTGTAAAAGCTTCTGTGTGTAAAAGCTTCTGTGTGTAAGAGCTTTTGTGTGTAAAAGCGTCTGTGTGTAAAAGCTTCTGTGTGTAAAAGTGTTTGCGATGTAAACTATTGTCTTGTACTTGTGCTATATTGTCTGGATACTCCTCTTCTCGTCTGCCTATAACACATCTTTAATATATTGTTTTGCAATATGGTGTCTCCATACTAACAAGAGAAGACCCTGCTCCTCTACGCTCTGGGGCCATCCGTCGTCTAGTGTTAAGGCAAACTTGGATGCAAAACTGAGCTAAGAGCGGCTAACCTTTCGTTTCTGCAAAATGCATTCGGTGACTGACCAGGGACCTGGTGAATCAGGCCATTTGAACGATGAGGGGCCGAGAGGGGCCGAGAGGGGCCGAGGGCCAAGGGTATGGCAAAGCGATCTGAACACAGGCAACAATAAGAACAGCTGTTCTCCTCTTTTTGCACTCTGCTTTCATCACGCTGATGGAAGCCCAAGAAGTGCATGGTGCGAACAGCCAAAACTTTCCAGAACTTTTCCAATGGAAGGGGCCGTTGACCGTTTTATTTATTTTAGAAAATGGATACGTTTAATTGTGAGGATCCCCCCTGCCAAAATGATAAAACTCATCCATACCGCCATTACCCCTTTAGTTGCGTTGGATCTCCCCGTTACTTCTGGAGTTACACCCCAGGTATGCTCAATATGCAATGGCCTCTGACTTCTCCAAGGCCTCCCGTCCAGGTCTTCAACGGGACTCGCAAATGGAACGTGGTAGTTACGTATGTCAAACCTGAAACCATCAAACAAATACTTGCAAACTCTTGGGCTCCATGAAACATGTTGAACTTTGCTAATGGAGTGATTCCATTTTCCTGAACAGCTGTTGAAGCAAACGCCTAGTTCCGGAAAATCGGCCAAACGGAGTTTCATGCTCATCTACTTGGACGTTTCACGCCATGGCCCGCTTTTGCTTCATGTGGCTAAGCGTCCCAACTCCCCAGGCCCGAAAAAAAAACCAAAAGAAACGACAGCGATGAAACATGTGAAACTACTAAGCAGGCCCAGCCAGTGATCCATCTTCAAATTTGCTCATCCTGCAGTCCTGGCTTAGCTGGACCTGTGGGGAGCCAGTGGGGATCTTCTCCACCTTGTCGTCTTCCTGGCAACATCCTACATGGCTAGTCCTCGGATGGGCTCTGCTCTATTGGAACCAGAAGTACCTGAGAACATTAAAAAACATGATGGATTGCAAAACACAAGATACAGATTGGACATGACAACAGTGCAAGGTGAAGTGTTTGTTGAACACTACAAACTATCAAACCCTCCACAAATCTATGCTACATTGCATGGCTTACCGGTATCCAAACCCACCTCCTTCAAACACTGAAAAGGAAAACAATCCAGCAATCTTTGGTCACAACCGGCCATGTGGAAATGTGTAATGCCGACTATTTCTGCCGCAACTGGTGCCCTGTGCAGAATTTTCCCAGGCTCCTTGAAACTGGGCGACTGCGGGCTGATCCGATGTTCCGCTTCGAGCTTTCCATTCACAGCCTGGGATTGATCGAAGCGGTATATATAGTCGAAGGAGGTTTGGAAGTCAAACTTCCGACAATATGGACAGACAGGTAGAAAAGTAGAGATGAGAAGTGTTAGACAGGAGAAGGTGAGAAGGAAGGAGATCAGAGAAGAGAAAGAGCCAGAAGAAACAAGATGCAGGTGTGCGAAAAGGTAGAAAAGTCGCGAAACACGGTGTGTTTTCCGATGTTTGGGGCTCTGGAGGGTCGAAAAGTAGGCTCGCTAAAGCGGCTGGTGCGGAGCCATCTGGGGAGATGAGAGATGAAAAATTGCACGCCGTTGTGGGCCAATCAGATTTGGAGGTCAAAAAATTAAAAACACCTGAGCCTCGGAGTACTTTTGGAAGTTGAGATGTTGAAAAAGTGCACGCCGTTGCGGCAGCACATTTCGAAGTCAAAATGTGCAATACACACCATTCTCGGAAGACTTTTGGAAGTTGAGATGTTCAAAAAGTTCATGCCGTTGTGGCGCGAAGCACATTTCGAAGTCAAAGTGCTAAAAACACCACATGTTCGCGCCACTTTTGAACGTTAAAGCATCGTTTTGTGTGGCAGGTGCAAAGGATTATGCACCCTGCCAAAAGTGAGCCAAACGTGACGGTTTTGTAGCAGTTTCAAAAACGTTGGCAGGCGTCGGACTTTTGACGAGGATCTGCAAAGATGAATTTCGCGTGGCAGGCGCAGCACATGAGACATGTTCATCAGAGATGTTAGGAGGTCAGCGCGCTGATTTCCTGAGAGTGGTTGCATTTTGGAGCGTCAGATCTTCAGGTTTGCTATGATGATTTGCGTGACAGGTGCGACACTTCGTATGACCTGGCCTCACTTTTTTGTGGCGTGTGCAGTACTTTAGACAGATGGAATGGAAGAAAAATCGCAAAACGCATTGGTACGAGGCCGTCAGCTCTGCACTCAACTTTCCATTTTTGAAGCCTGTCTCGCAGACTTGCTTTGTTTTTGATTTTGTCAACTTCGAAAATTGAGGAAGTCTCACAGAATAGGAAGTCTCGTAGATGCACTAATTGCACTGCTACCGCTGCCGCTACAACTAGAACAACTAGAACAACTAGAACAACCACAACAACCACAACAAGCACTACCACTACCACTACCACTACCACTACCACTACCACTACCATTACCACCACCGCCACGACCACCACCACCACCACGACGACTACTACTACTACTACTGCTGCTACTACTACTACTACTGCTACTACTGCTACTACTGCTACTACTCCTACTCCTAAAGCTACAACTACATTACACTACACTACGCTAATTGCACAACACTACACTACAACTCAAACTACACTACATCACACAACACTACACTACGCTACACTAACTACACCACACTGCAACTACAACTGCAACTACAACTACGCTACATTACACTACACTACGCCAATTACACTACACTACACTACAACTACAGCTACAACTACACTACACTATACTAAAGTACAGTACAAAGCAACAGTACACTACACTACATTACACTACACTAATTACACCACACCACAACTACAACTGCAACTGCAGTTACAACTGCAACTACACTACAACTACAACTCCACTACACTACGCTACAATCACAACTACAATTACAATACAGCACAGCTACAGCTACAACTGTAACTGCAACTACAATTACATTGCACTACACTACACCACACTACATCCGGCAGTTGCAGGTAAGGTGACCACCGCAACCAATCCAAAAAACACAACTCCAACCACCTTTCGGCCCATCAGTGGGTTTGCTCTGCCGTCCATGCATCACAACAACACCTCTCCGACAGTGTCCTATCTTTGAAACTTCCGCGACCGCCTTGTGCGGTACTACTGGTATATGTTTATGGCATTTATGGAAAGGATTGAACCAAACCGGGATGAGGTGAGCTCTTAGTGTGAAAGATTCGGAGCGATGAACCGGGGGCTGACTGCAGACACCTCCGGAGCTAAGTTCTTGTCTGGTCCCTGCCGTCAACCCATTCTGAAAATACTATATAATCGGTTGCGATCATCGTCCAGGGTGTGATGCAAAATAAAGACAGCATGAAACCATCAGCCCAATGTCTTGATGCAAAAATTCGGGAAATTCCTCCATCAACCCGACCTGGAAGATCCCATAGTCACTTGCGGACATCCCAAAACTGACAAGATTGTGGAAATTGGGAATGGAGGCAGCTGCCGGGTCACCTGGATATCGTGCGGTCGCGCATCCATGGCCAAATCAGCGAAGGCATCAGCAGACCTTACCACTTTCCCAGTGGTTTTAGCCCTGCTGTGACGAAATAGAACTTCAGCAGAAATATTTGTGAACATTGAGACATTGAAGAAGGTACTTCAATCAAGTACCGGTCACTGACACAGCCAACACGCAGTGTTTGCCGCAAGTGTGATACCCGAACAAGCACCTTCTGTGGGAGAGAGGGTGTGGGCTGGATATGGGAGATTTGACGGAAAGAAAGCAGACAGAACCTTGAAGAGGGCCAAGCGACAAAAGGCATCTACCATACCCAGAAATCAAAGATCACTTGGGCTCCGCACTCTTTCATCCTCTGCAGGGCCTTTTCGTACTCGCTGTGGTCGCGGGTATCCATCTGGCTCGTAGCCAGCTAATCAATTCGGCTGTGACAGTCAGGTGCGACAAAAAAAGCCGACCATCAGTTGAATTGGATTCGCCAGTTTCTTGCCAGAATGTCAGATCGTGCCATCCCAGAGTTAACTAGGTGATGCAGAAGTCAATCTTTGCAAACTGCAGTTCCAAGTCTGACGGGCCTGTGCATTGTATGTCATGGTTTGGTTGATGCCAGGCATTTTGTCAATGCTACCGTCATGGAATGAAATCAAAGATGTGCAACAGATCAAACATGAGACAATGCAAAGACCCACCATGATTCTACCTTCTTTAATAAAACTACTCCTTTCGGCAATGACAGCACACGGCAAGCCAATTGCCATGCCAGCAGCACCACGTCATGCCCATCTTTGGCCGTGCAACGGACCTTCAAGGCAAACAGCTAAATGACTTAAATGACAGCTAACTTTTTGGAGTAGGATGACGCTACCCGATTTCCGAAAAACAAAAAAACAGTTAGGCGCTTCCTAGAGTATCTTCAAGCTACGCGTGCTGGCCAAATTTGGGGCAATAGCGCCTTTCTTCGCTGTCCGCTGTCCTTCTTGACCGCCATAGGCATCACGACTAAATCACAAACCAAAGACCATAAAAGGCAATCGCAGCAAACTGAGTACCGAACCCATCCACTGAGACCCTCTTCGGGCCCGTCCTGAACAAGAACACCGGCCACAGGGCACCTCGCCAGGGGAAGGATACCACACGTTCGCTCTCAAAATGCCAAACATGTATCCGTTTTTTTCTTTCCCTTGGCCAATCAATGGTGGACATCTCATGTACTCACCCGAGGCCAGGGAGGAAGGTACGACAAGCTAGCCGGCTGGGATATGCATTTGGGCGCACAAAAGTTGTAGGTGTGAATGGCCTGATTAGATGGGAACATTGTCTGCCGCCAGCGACGAGCATCCTTTGGGAGAAAGGTGAAGCACACGCCAAGAAGCAAAGTGAATAGCTGAAAGGAGACAAGAACATGGGTAGAAAAATGCTTCCAAAACGGAAGTCGAAGATCGGATGGTTTTTTTCTCTGGGGTGTGATGCATAGACAAAGAATGGAAATAGAGGAGGATAAATTAGAAAAGGAGAGAGAGAGAGAATTTAAAAAGCAGATGACATATGGGATATGAAGGAAATACAAGCAGAGGCAATATAGACAATCTGTACCAGAGCATGATGTGATGATGATGCTGGACATGACGCCAAAACGCATGAAAATGACGATCGGAATCGAACCCTCAGGTTACAGGAGGTGTCCATGAGCATGCGAGACTTTCTAAGGATCCGAGGTTGTGCAGCCCCTGCTTCTACCTTGCTAAAGCAAGAGACTAGCAAGGGTCACTACAGCTAGCACAGGCCAGCTTTTGTGACAAGGATGTAAAATCACTGTTGAAGCCTGTGGTTGGTGATGCAAGCCTGCAAGGTATCCGCCAAACATTTGTAAAACACAAACTATCGGCTGGGCACGCCGCTGGGCACTTGATGTTTCGACATTTGAGCTCAGGTGCTGACCAGCCTCATTCGATGATCACATCCTTAATCTCCTGCACATGTACTAAGCAGCCTGCCGACACCTGGCCATACAGCACGAGCTGAGGGGTCTCTTGTTCCATCGAAACTGCCGATGTTGCCAGAACTGAACCGCTGCATCATCACCGCATCCTAACGCTTACTAAGCCACACATCTTGACAACCAGCGGTCTGCAAAACATAATCCGAAGCCAACTGTCATTTACGCAGAGGAACAAGGTGACTCGCGGCTGCACGAGCCGTTGTTCATCAGGTCTCTGTGGCCCACTATCATGAGGCTCCCATGCGCCAATGCAATTCACATGGCCTCTGCTTTGGACCTGGTTGCCCCTCTACCATCCCGGCCTCGCCCACATTGGAGCTATGAACGTCAGGCCCACTGCGTATCGGAGAAGGTTCCAACATGCGATAGGTTGCGCCTTCCTGGAGCAAAGCCGTCAGGGTGCAACCCACAAGTGACTGGGAATGGCAAAGAAGCTGCCAGAATGCAGGTTTTCATCACACCAGGATCAGCAATCAAGTGCTGGTATCTGAAAAAATCCGGTCATTAACCGTTCTAATTGGGCCTTCCAAGGCGAAGAGCGACCAGGTTGGTAAGATTTCCGGAGACCTCGAGGCTGACAACTGCTCTGGAGGTTTGTGGCTATGATTGGGACAAACACCTGAAATTGGGCGAATTTCTCCAAATTTCATTAAAATGACTGAGCCTAAAAGGACCCGCCATGAGATTTGGAAAAGCTCGGATGTGTCAAGGCAAACATACTGGTGGATGAACATTTCGTCATTAACCTGTCATGTCATTCTTGCAATCGCAACAATCGAACCGCCAGCCAGCAGATAGCAGCAGTGCTTAATCTTCTGCGGCGCAGAGTTTGCGCATACGCAGCATCAGCATGTCCAGAATGATGTTGCGGAGATCCCACCCTGGTCGACTCCCAATGAAACATCCCAAAACCATATGCGCCTAAGCCAACATCATGTTCTGATATGTTGGCACCAGGCTGAGAAAAGTGCCAGCACCATTTTGCTGCAAAGCGTGCTGATGGATGTCCACCACCTCATGGGGGCCAATGTGCGCATAGCAAATTACAATTGAGCAGGGCACCAACCACCAAATGGAGAACAACAGCAAAAACTTGCGCCCTAAGCAGTCGCATCCATGGCATGTGTGGCTTCAGCAGCGCGCCTTCCGACTCATCAGATTTACTTCCATCAGAAGGTGCTCGCCGTTATCAGTTTCTGGACTGATCCTTAGCCAGGATGGTGGAGCCCTGGGAACCTACAGCTTCTGAACACACAGGTGATCCTCCATCAAGTTCCTCTTGTTTGGGAAGGTCATCTTCAACAAATTTGCTGATTGTCATGTGAAAGTGGCAAAGGGTTCAGATGTGTGCCCGATCCAAACGGGAACGTATGGCATGCAGTGCATCACCTGCATCTGTCTCTGGTTCTGAAATTTTTGTGGGGTTGCAAGCACTTGAAAAACTCCTTTGGAGGAAATTGACGAGGAACATGTCAAACGAAAATGGAATTCGAAATCCCTGTCGCATTTTTCCAATGTGGTATTGCGTGGTGTTGCCATGCTTGGATTCCAGTTCAACTTTACAGCTTATCGCTACGCTGGGCCTCGAACCATCCAAGTTTATCACCTGCCACAACCAGGGCACGGAGCTTCGCCTGGCATCTGCTTTGGTATATAGCGGCTCCAAAACATCCCGGCATAAGCAGTGGGTTCACTACCTTTGCGGAAATGGCGTCATCCACCAGCAACATCCAACATGACACAACATGTGTTTGGTAGCTGTGACCAGCCAGCATCTGGCGCACAGCCTGGGAGCTGGAAACTGCACCGCAAGCAACTCCAAAATCCAAGAGAAGCACCTCACGCAGTTTGGGAATCACAATGTTGGGGGTACAGTATGCTATTGACAATCTGGCTTAAAAACGCTGGTTATCGCTGCCGTACTATCTGGTGACCTCCCATACAGGATGGGGTTGTGAGCCGTGATTGTTACAGAATGGGAACATCCAAGCACTGTCGCGCACGGGGAGTGTACCTGGGAATTCCATGGCAAAATTTGTCAAAAACGAAAAACTCGCAGCTTGGGGAACATTTCCTAAGATACCATCGGACCAGAAAATGACATGAACAATGAACCGTTCCTTCAACAGGATTCAGCACCAGCTCCATTGCAAGCGCTTCCAAACAAACACGTATCCCAACCAAAGAGTGACGGAAGTCTTCCAAGATGTTCAAACGTAAACCAATTGGGCCTCATCTACTTTAGGCCTTGCGAAAGGTCAAAAGTCTTGAGACAAAAAAAAGACATGCATCAATCCATCCGTCCAGTGGAACCATGCAACTGCACCTCGTCTCCTGCGAGGACCTCGTTGACCCAACTGCTGTCAAGGGAAGGGCCTGACCAGTAGGGTGACAAACTGATCGTTGGGACCTTCAAATTTCCTGCATCTTTTCAACGTTTCCGGCCGGAGCTCAACATGGCAAAACCGCTCGAACCACTTCAGGTATGGCGACATTTGTCCTAAATCACGTGGGCCTGCTCGCAGGGTGGCTGGGTGCTGCACGCTGTAGCGCATTTTCAACTCCCAAGAGCCTGGACCAGAACAAAACTGATTTGATTGGAGTAATCAATAATTGAAAAGATAGGCAAAGGCCAGGGAACAACATCGAGATTCTCTCTTGGTATGTGACCTGGCAATGCAACTTTGGACAGTGCCGGCTGCGTAGAGTCGCCAAGTTGGATGTCCTGGTGCCAAGATCACACCAAAGACATAAAAACTAAAGGACCAGAAAGTCGCACGTGTCAACTTCTTCCAACAAGCACCTTTTCTTTAACGAAAAACAAAAATTATCTACCTGTCAGCCTTGGCCCAAATAGCTTTTCCAATTCCAAGAAAGGAAACAAACACAAAAATCTGTCAGGAACGTGATTCCGAAAGCGATGTGGAAAGTGATACCTTGTGTACGCATTTTCAATCCCCAATGAGAGAGGAAATCCATGATATAGTGTCATCCATTTTGTAGTGGCATTCACGTTCGGCTTTGGGACCGGGATTGGGGTATTGCAAAAAGCAAGAAGGAGGTGGAAGAGGGACATGGAAAGAATATGGTGTGAGGAGGAACTTGTGTTGCACAAGAGGCTTGGTGAAGTCGCCACACCAGTCAATGAAAGACCGGCGACGGAAAGTGCAGATACTTTTTGTTCTCGAACGATTCAAAGCTGTATGGAAGAGTTCCCTATCGCATCTTGCACATTGCCCCTGGCGTGAACTAAGGAAACGTCATGCCTGCCGCAAAAAAAGGTACTCGAACGTCATTGAACGCTAGGAAACGTCGCGAGCACAACGCAAAACACTGCGGTGCTACGGCCGCCAAGACTCTCCACCCAAGCGCAACACTTCCACGCCAAAGCGAATCAATCGTGCCTGCCACATAATGTCCCGCCTACCATGCGGACCAAGGTGATCCAGCCCAGCCAACCAGCCCCTGTCAGTGCCAATCCTGCCACGCAAAAACTATTTGAGGGTCAGGAAATGCTGCTATGTTGTGTGTGGCAATGTTGTGTGCGGCAATGTTGTGTGCGAGTGTGAAGGAGTCGTATGTGAGAATGCTCTTTGTGAATAGATTGTGTACGACAATGTTGTGTATGACAGAGTTGTATGTGACAGAGTTTGTGTGACAGAGTTGTATGCGACAAAGTTTTGCATGACAATGTTGTGTGAGAGAGAGTTGTGTGTGAGAATGTTGTGTGTGACGAGGAGGAAGAAGGAGGCGGCAGATCCCAACCATCCACGAATCCCACCACTCCCAGGCATCACAGCTATCCAAACCGTCCCAACCGTCCCAACACACCTCAACCACTCCAATCATTTGAGCATCCCAAGTGTTCCAACTACCCCGACCGTCCCAATCGTCCATCCCAAACGTCGCAACCGAATCAATACATGGTCTTCACGCAAAGAAAAACATGCAGAATAAGCGCCTAGATGAAGGTGCCTGTTCTCACCCTCCCACAATGGGCAGCAAAGCCCTGCAATTGCCCATCATGCCTCAATACGCCCTCCCAGGTACCCCGACATAGCCCGACCACAGCCTGTGGCTGAGCACACTTGCATCTCAGCAGGTCTTAGCTGAGAGCAAAAGGGTCAGCAGCCCAGTGCAGTTCATCTCAGCAAGGCCTCAACTGGTCATTGGCTTCTCAGACCAGGTGCCCTTGTGGGCCAAAGCTACAGGGAGGAGAGCTGTCTTTCATGTTGCACTTCAACCTGCAAGTTGCATATTTATGATGTATATTAAATGTCTTGCATGGCGGCACCAAACAAGGAAAAACTTACGCTGCTGCTTACGTTTTGCTTACGCGCGCACAAGTTTTACTTACGCACGTTATAGTACCTTACACAGACCTTACCCTGACAAATTTTAGCACATCACCACAGTTTCGGCTTACGCGCAGCAACCTTTACATGCAAGAATCGAAGTAGTGATTGGCAAACTCAAGCAGTGGACGATGAAGACATGGAAGAAGAGGAAGAAGATGATGAAGAAGTACCACCAGCAGAAGCTCGCAGAGCACGAAGCTGACGACGTTTTTTGACAGCACCCTTGCTGAGAGCACGGGCATAACTGGAGAGTTTCTCTTCCAGGGACCGTTTTGGCAAAGGCATGCTGGAACTCTTGTGTGCCTTTTGGCTCCGATGCACGAGGCTAGGACGTGGAAAGTCTGCTACACTGACTGATGGTGATGTGATTCTGGAGAGTCTGAAGGCTTCAGTCACAGAAGCGCGCAGGTCACCAAGAGAAGCGACAAGCTGACCACACTTACCACTAATACCGGACAGGCCAAGCAAGACAGATTGACATCTGGAGAAGATCTTGTTCAACAAGAGGCGGACTTCATCTAGAGAAAGACAGTGCTGTTCGAAATGTCGGACACGGTCTTTGTCAAAATTCGTTGGCGCTCATGACCAAGATCGGAGAAGGGTTTGGATTTGGGCGGCATGGGCAACTACTGGCAAAAGCACCTTTGGCTTACGCGCAGCTTACGCGACGCTTACGCGGTCCTTACACGGATGTCAGGAAACAACTACGCAAAACACCAACTGAAGATAACCAATGTTCCTTCAAGAAAAGGCATTCCAATGCATAGGTTGCCTGTCACTCTCTGCATCTGCCCCTTTCTGATATGCTGAATTCTTAAGTGCATGTGGGTCCCTGCAAACCTTCAACAGCGAATCTTTTCATATGTTTATAAATGGTCCATATCGATAGAAATGGGGAAAACCATCCATACCCTATAAAGTGATGTAAAGTGTTGATGAAGTGTCCGTGCATGTGATTGAAACAATACACATTCTCAACCAAACTTTTGGGAACATAACTATCCGTCACCGCGTCATTGTAAAAACGGCAACCTGAAATTGATACCAATCCCATTCAGGCGTGTTGAATTGAAAGACGGGAGGGCCACCGTGGCCCCAGGAAAATCAAAAACCCGTCCGGTCATGTCAGGTTAGGATGCATCATACATACCACTACTTAAAACCTCATCTTAAAACCGATGAAAATGAGCTTACGCCATCCTTACGACAGCAATATTGGTAAAAAATGCTTACGCAAACTTACGCCCACCAGTGTTTTGCTTACGCCACAGGTATCACAAGGATCCCAATACTAAACATAAACACTGAGGTTTAAAACGCGGCTCAAGAGATATATGTATACACACATATATATATATACATATCTAAATCTAAATCGATATTTATATCTAAATCAATATATATATATATACATACATGTAAATGTACACATAAACATTGATGGCCCACTATGGGCTTCACCCTGGCAACAACACAGGTTCCCCACACCGAAAAAAAACCTTCAGAACAAACACCTAGATGAAGGTGGCTGCCCTCCCTTCATCCATGCCAACGAAGCTCTGAAACTGTCTCATACGACCCTACACACCTCAATGATGCCGCTGTCTAGTTCCAACGTATTGCGCCCTGGCTGGCCAATTGCCCGAGATAGGCTAACATCATTGGCTTTGCGCTAGCATCAGCCAAGCTTCTCGCCAAAAAACAAAACATATACAATCAAACTCAAGAACGCCCCTGGCATTGTCATGGCCGGGGCAGGCGCACTCCTAAAATTAGCACGGGATCCACGGTAGCGAGTTAAAAATCGAGCATCTTCCAAATAATAAGGACCGGGCCTGCATGATCGTTGTCACTGCGTGTGCATTTGGCAATGGCATTAAAGAGTTGAAGGTGAGACCGCGCATGGTTTCATGAACTTTGAACCCAAGGAATACTCTGGAACCTGGAGGCGGGCAATGTCCACGAACTGCTCATCAACATAATTGAAAAAAAATGTATTCGAATGTAATCCGCGGCTGGCAATGATCGTAATTGGCTCGACTATGGAAACCCTGACACTTCAAAACGCTTCTAACCATCCCGACCGCCGTCCAACCATCGCGACTGCCCCAACCATTCCTACCGACCCAGCCATCCCAAGCGACACAAGCGATTCTGACAACATCGATTACGCCTTGGAGGGCTCGATATTTCAGGGCGAGAACGGTTTTTCAATAGACTTGTGCGAAAATAGATGCACATTATGAACCAATGGGACGTGTTACACACAAACACTTTAATGAACAAAACGCCATGGTCCGACTTGATCTACGCTGTCCTCCAAAGAGATCCACCCTGCGTGTTGTCCTTCCGCCGGCTGTGGAATCACCAAGCCGCGGTTGAAACCTGGTTGCGCCACAGTGCTCCAACGGCAATGCTTAAACAACATATGTGATGGATCCAGCAACCGTGCGCACCATGAGAGTTTGTCTTGCAAGTGCAAGATGCTGGTTTGTTGTTTCATGATCTTCTGAGTGATGGCAGCAACCTGCATGTATTCTGCCACCACCGGGGCGTTCCCCGATGATAAGGCCGTGTGCATACACTCCATCAAAACAAACGAGGAAACATAGAAGTGGAGGGCAAACTTGTAATAATCGAAACATGTCAGCAAATTTCTGGCGATCGGATCGGACCCCCGCGATAGCATCATGATGTCTGCGCAGACAGCTGGGGGGCCAAACCTGTCATTCTGTAAGCCACGTCTGCACCGCTTGTAGTCAATGAGGTCCCTTCTGATTGCCCCAAGATGCCCACCAAGAGGACCACATCCTGCCGTGCACGGTGCTGTGTGCGGTGTGTTGCTCGCCTTCTATTGACTTGTTTTTTGCTTGGATAACTTGGTATGGCAAGTGTGAAATAGGTGATCATGATTTGCTAATAAAACGGCCAGAACCCTACATGTTAAGTTTTCCCCTAATAGCAAAGGACAATCGGGTAATGAGGGTTGAGTGGAAAAAAACCGTTTTTTTTTGGCGAAAAAACGGGAAGTTTTGAAAGGACAAAAACGCAGATGGAGATAGATAAACACAGAACTAAGGAAAACTGAGAAATGATAGAGGCGGAGATGCGGCGGATGTAGAAATTTCGATATCAATAGATGAAGCGTTGATCGCATTCGGCACCGATGCTACCGAGGCATGTCAGGGGTCAACCCTTTCTCCATCTGTTTTTGCGTCATGCAAGGGTTGACATTCCCAGTCGCCAGCAGCTGGCAACAGCGTGTCAAATTGCAAACCTTCAGATTCTTCAGGGGCAAGACCCGTTGCTTTGCCAGCAGACAGCCGCGAAGAACTGCACCTGCCACGCAAAATCAACACGTTGCCCAGTCGAAAAAAGGCGCCCAAACACGCAAATGCAGCAGCAAACCCACCTAAAGATGCAGTCACCAGCGCCCAAACGTGCAAAAAACAACAGCAAACCACGCTAGAGATTGCAATGCGCAACGCAACAAGTCAGTTTGATAGAGATAAGTTCAACAAAGGGAATTGTGTGATGGGGCTTAATTTGACACGGAAAAATGGGTGGTAGTGGATAATGATGGAGGAGAAGGAATAGAAGGCGGCGTGGCCTTAGCACCACAAAAAACAGCGGCGAAAAGAAAATATTGGGAAAAAACCGAAATCAAACGAGTGCAGGTGATGAACGTGTTTCACCGTGCACACACTGTTTCATCACGCGCGCAACGTTGGAACATACTGCGTGAATTTCACCGCCTTCAATGTCATGTGGCAAGGCCTTGTCAGGAACTAGAACTCCGTGGCGCGTGCCATCCAAATTCCTGGCTGGTGCCGTTTGATGCATAAATCAAAAACCAACAGTAGAAATGGCAATTCCTTACAATGCATGCCGAACAGTGGCAAACAGCTGTTGGCATAGACGTTGCTGACCACCAAATGCGACCAAAATGCTCGCCACTCCAAAGGTCCAGTGGCCGGGCGACTTTGTACCGCCGTCCCACCTCAGTTACCGACGAAGGTATGTCAAGAGCTTGGCTTTGCACAGGAACTGGTTTTGATGTGCTTGGGTTCCACACTTTGTATTCTTTATCTTCTTCCTGCAGTTCTGCTTGCTCAGAACGAATCTTTTGCTCATGGGGCGCTTTGCGTGGCCTTCGTCAAGACCGAATGGCTAGCCAACACATCCACCCAAATTTGGTGTGTGACATACGAATCCAAAAACATATATAGTTGACAGCCTCGCTTCTGCCAATGAATGCGTCGTGACAACGAAACACTCACCATCGGTAGCGAAACGCCAATTGGCTTTGCATGGCCTGCTGCCGCGGCCTCCCATGGATCAAACTACCCTAAAGGAAACATATCTCGGCTGTATGGCAGCAGACATGCCACAATCATTTTGTCAGATGGAGCAGCGCGAATTTCCATGGTGAGTCCGCGTAAGACTTGCCGCCGCCGTGTCATCACAACTTGGTTCAAAAAAAACAAAGGATTATATGGGTTCACCATCCTTTGTTTTGATTTTTTCCCCCTATGGAAATGTGAGATCGCGTCGTCGCACTTTTTTGGGCAAGGTTTTTGTACAAAACTTGTACAAGAGGTATTGTGGCAAGATGATCTTGTTAAGAAACCTCTTGCAGAGACCTTCCTGGGAGATCCCTTATAAAAAACCCGCGCAGAGATCTCACTTGTAGGGAACTTGTGCAGGGATCTTTGCCGAGAGATTTTTTTTAAAAAACATTGTGTAAAAATCTTTTAAATGGATCTTGCCAAGCGACCTCTTATAGGGAATTTGTACGCAGATCTAGCCAGGAGGTTCCCCGCAGTGATCTTGCTAATGGATCTTTTATGAAGAGTTTGTCAAGATAGTGTGTGTGACCAGGGATCTTATTCAGAGATCTGTCGCAAAGATCTTGCCGGGAAATGTCCTTCAGAGTTTGCACAGAGATCTTTGGCCTGTTGGTGCTAGTTTGTTTGTCCCTTTTGAATCTTTTGAACATCCTTGCTGGGTTTGAATTTTCTTGTTTTTCGGGTTCAGAAAGTGACGTTGGTCTGTGGCCTGGGAGGGCTCGTGAAACGTTCAGCTGGGTGCTGTTTCCCTGGGCTAAATTTTTATGCAAGGTTCTTGTACGAGATCTGCCAAACCTTTTGCAGCATTCCAAGATGTACAAATTTCATGTCTTCATAGCTAGTGCAAAACATATGTGGTGGAGGCCGCAATGGTTCCAAAGTACAAATCGAACAACCGATGTGCAGCAGACGCCGCTGCATCAATTTGCGCACCATGGCAGCGGAATTATGGAGTTGGTGGCAGCTGCTCATGAACAAGGTGTGCAAGCAGCTGGTGGCAATGGTGTTAGTGGTAGCACTATTTGCAATACTTTTCCAAGAAGATTTGCAAGAATCCGATGAACCCAATAGCAGCTCGAAGGCTTTGAATCTCAACATGCATTTTGCTGCAGCCTTGAAATCCAAGATGAGCCGGCAAAAAACTATGAGATGGAAATGATGTGTATTGATTATGGCACGAACTTTGGGCTGGAGGCCATGCAGGCCTTGGACTAGGACATCGGTCTGAAGACGGCAAACTGTATTTCACCAAGTCGATATTCCAAGATGATGTTAGTAACAGTTGTGGTCTGTTGAGGAACCACTTCTTGGACATGGCCAAGGAGTTCAACAAGAGCGCTGGCAGGAATAGATTCTATGGGATAGCAGTGATTAGACCTTGGAACGACATGGGACAGATTGGAATCTCTGGCCCTGGCAAAGTCATGGTAGAATTCATGACCAGGAACAACACAAGCATATTGTACAGTGTGCAGGATGTATAATCTTGATTGAAATTAAAATGCAAAGGTTGTTTTTTAAATATCTGGAGGCTTCACCCCTATTAAGAACAGCTAGCGTCCAACAAGTACAATGGATGTTGTTGGCGCATATTTTTCCTTTGAAGCGGTTGGTGGTGTGCAAAGTTGTTTAGTTCTTCCCCACATCACTGTGTGGGGTTCTCGTTTTTCGCTTGCATCCCGCCGGGGCTTCCGCCGCCTCCGCCGCCGCCTCGCCCTCCGCCGCCTGCTGTTCACTCACTCAACACTCATTCACTCACTCACTCACACTTCTCACTCACTCAGTCATTCACTCACTCGCTCGCTCGCTCGCTCACTCACTCACTCACTCAGTCACTCACTTACTCACTCACTCACTCACACACATTCAGGCCGCGGCTAACTTGCTCGTGGCAGGCGCGCTGCCTTGCTCGTGGCAGGCACAGTACATAGAGCCTGCAGGCGCAGCTGCGGCGCCGCAGTACATAGAGCTTCCTGGCTGCCTTTTGCGTGGCGAGCGCGGGACACAGAGCGTCCTGGAGGAGTTGCGGCGCGCGTGGCCGCCGCTGGGGCCGCGGCCGCCTTTCTCGTGGCAGGCGCAGTACATAGAGCTTCCTGGCTGCCTTTCGCGTGGCAGGCGCGGTACACAGAGCCTCCTGGAGGAGCTGCGGCGCGCGTGGCCGCCGCTGGGCAGCGGCCGCCTTTCGCCTGGCAGGCTCAATACACAGAGCCTCCGCATTTCCCTTTTGCGTGGCAGGCGCGGTACACAGAGCTTTCTGGAGGAGCTGCGGCGCGGTGGCCGCCGCTGGCCCGCGGCTGCCTTTGCCTGGCACGCGCATTACACAGAGCCTCCGCACTTCCCTTTTGCGTGGCAGGCGCAGTACACAGAGCTTTCTTGGCACGCGCAGTGCGCAGAACGTTCGCACTCCCCTTTCGAGTGGCAGGCGCAGTACACAGAGCTTTCTGGAGGAGCTGCGGCACGGTGGCCGCCGCTGGCCCGCGGCGGCGTTTTGCCTGGCAGGCGCAGTACACAGAGCCTCCGCATTTCCCTTTCTGGAGTACACATTTCACTTGGATCCCGCCGCTCCCGCTCCTGCCTCCGCCGCTGTAGACTTATCATCACCACTCATCACAAACCCACTTATCAAATCACAACTTCTCATCACAACTCATCACACCTTATCACACGCCAAGTCATCACAGCTCCACTTCTCACACCTCACGCATCACAGTTCCACTGCTCATAACAACTCATCACAGCTCCACTTCTGAAAGGTCCACTTCTCATCACAACTCATCACATCCCAACTCATCACAGCTCCACTTCTCACACCCCTTTTCACACCTCACTTATCACATCCGAACTCATCACAGCTCCACTTCTCACACCTGTCATCACAAGTCCACTTCTCACACCTCAGTTCTCACACCTCCCCGAATTTTACACTAACCTTAGATACATAAAGGCTTGACATGTGGGGTTATCCGGTCCTTTTATTTCTATATTCTGGTCGCGAACATGTGCAGTTGGAGTGTGGTTTGGATGGTTTCGTCCACCACTTCAATCACCACCAACATTAGCAATAACTCCTTGAATGCCAACAAACAACTTTCAAAACAGATCCTAAAATCAATGACCGTTACCAATATGAATATGCGGTACCATGTGCGGTATGTACAGGTTTGAAAACACAATGCTCTAACACCAGCAGCGCCACCAGAATATCAGCAAACAATCTGCCGAAGCAGATGCAAGAATCCATGGCCTTGAACAACACTGCACATTTTCACCACGAGAATTCAAAAATAGAAACAACTTTTTACTGCATCCACTAACCTTGAGGAAAATTTTGGGCCAACAAAATCTACTGCCTTTCTTGGAGGCTATTGGTTGCTGATCGCAAAACCACCAGACACAATAGATATAGAACATTTTGTCGTGGTGAATCGAGGGATGGACGAAGGAATCCAAACTATATTCTTACGGCGCGTTTTCGCCACCAACAACTTTGTACCGCACCAGCCAACCTCGGCCAACAACATTTAGTGTACTTGTTGGAGGCTAATTGTGCCTGATAGCAAACCACCGGATATAATGGGTGCAGAAAAATTGTTATGGATACGGTACCATCAAGACCACACACACTGCATACTGACACTGTGCCACAAACTTGTGTTGTTCAGGGTCATAGATTTTAGCATTTGCCTGGGCAAATTGTTTGCTGGTTGTGTTGGTGGTGGTTGGGGTGATGGATGAAACAATGATTCCCACCACCGCAACCAAAAAATTAAACACCTTTGTACTGTAGCAAACAACACAATCAATTCCACCCGTGGGAGACCAATTACTTTATTGCAAGCGTCTATTTCAGCATGGTGGACAACAGAGCAGAATCTGTGCAGGAACAAACATGGCGAAAACTATGTTGCGCAAACTGGTGGTTTGTATTCTGTACATTGTTTTTTGTGTTGCTGGTCCTGCACCTTCTTGTATGGGTGTGCGATGGTCGCGCGCTGATCATCGGGTCGGCGGGTCTTTACAGAGAACCGTACATCAGCCTAGCAGGAGATGCGTGCCTCAGTGAGCCCTCCCATCAGCACAGTAATTTTTGGAATGTGGTTGCTACGCCATCTTTACAAAGGTTGTCTCTTGTGAGCCGTGGGTCTTGGGTTGTGATGGCATGGAAAGCCTGCTAACGTTGGTGATAGGACGTCTTGCGCAGTTGATGCTACGTCGAAGGTCTTGGGTTGGTGGGGTGGGGATCTGTTGCCGTTCTTGGTAGGACGTCTTACGTTGGTGATGTTAAGTCGAAGGTCTTGGGTTGGGGTGGGGTGGGGATTTGTTAACGTTCTTGTTAGGACGTCTTACGTTGTTGATGTTGGGTCGACGGTCTTGGGGTGGGGGGTTTGGGATCTGTTAACGTTCTTGGTAGGACGTCTTACGTTGTTGATGTTGGGTCGACGGTCTTGGGTTGGGGTGGGGTGGGGATCTGTTAACGTTGTTGGTAGGACGTCTTACGTTGTTGATGTTGGGTCGACGGTCTTGGGGTGGGGTGGGGATCTGTTAACGTTTTTGGTAGGACGTCTTACGTTGTTGATGTTGGGTCGACGGTCTTGGGTTGGGGTGGGGTGGGGATCTGTTAACCTTCTTGGTAGGACGTCTTACGTTGATGATGTTGTGTCGACGGTCTTGGGTTGGGGTGGGGTGGGGATCTGTTGCCGTTCTTGGTAGGACGTCTTACGTTGGTGATGTTAAGTCGAAGGTCTTGGGTTGGGGTGGGGTGGGGATCTGTTAACGTTCTTGGTAGGACGTCTTACGTTGTTGATGTTGGGTCGACGGTCTTGGGTTGGGGTGGGGTGGGGATTTGTTAACGGTCTTGGTAGGACGTCTTACGTCATGGGTCATTAAATGTCCCCATTGAACATCACCCAACCATTAGGTATATGGTCTATAATGGCTACTATAAGGTGATGTTCAATATTCCCAAAATGGGACAGTTACCAACCCCTGTACGTTGTTGATGTTGATTCGACGGTCTTGGGTTGGGTTGGGGTGGGGATCTGCGAACGTTCTTGTTAGGACGTCTTACGTTGTTGATGTTGGGTCGACGGTCTTGGGGTGGGGGGTTTGGGATCTGTTAACGTTCTTGGTAGGACGTCTTACGTTGTTGATGTTGGGTCGACGGTCTTGGGTTGGGGTGGGGTGGGGATCTGTTAACGTTCTTGGTAGGACGTCTTACGTTGTTGATGTTGGGTCGACGGTCTTGGGTTGGGGTGGGGTGGGGATCTGTTGCGTTCGTGGTAGGACGTCTTACGTTGGTGATGTTAAGTCGAAGGTCTTGGGTTGGGGTGGGGTGGGGATCTGTTAACGTTCTTGGTAGGACGTCTTACGTTGTTGATGTTGATTCGACGGTCTTGGGTTGGGTTGGGGTGGGGATCTGTTAACGTTCTTGTTAGGACGTCTTACGTTGTTGATGTTGGGTCGACGGTCTTGGGGTGGGGGGTTTGGGATCTGTTAACGTTCTTGGTAGGACGTCTTACGTTGTTGATGTTGGGTCGACGGTCTTGGGTTGGGGTGGGGTGGGGATCTGTTAACGTTCTTGGTAGGACGTCTTACGTTGTTGATGTTGGGTCGACGGTCTTGGGTTGGGGTGGGGTGGGGATCTGTTAACGTTCGTGGTAGGACGTCTTAAATGATCCTAATGGGCAATGCAATAATCTAATTTCAAGATTGCTGTGGCAATTTCCAGAAAGGTCGACGACGAAAGTGAGTTGGGTTACTGGGAAGCATTTCTCCTGTCGCAAGTGGACGATTGATGAAAGAAGAGGCAAAAAACGATAATGTTCAGTGTGCGGTGCTGTCGTATGGTGGCCATGAAATCATTCGTTGAAAGCGCGGGGTAGTTTCAATCGTAAACCCTAATGCATTGTCATAATGTAAGTTTGGTCGTTGTTTTGCAGTCTTTCAATCTTGGCTACACAGTCCCCACTGACATGTGCTGCGATAGGACCTGTAGGTCTGTACTGTCCATGAATTCAGTTGTTGAACATGCCCAAAAGGGTGCAAAACATGAACATGTCAACAAGTCCATGGCTAGATAAATGTGGGCACAACTTGGCAAAACCCGAGAGAAATATGCCCCATATGGGCTGCGGTTTTGTACATACCCTATACTTTGTTGAGGCTGTTTCTCCTCGGCACAGTGGGCGTGGGCTGAAAACCCGGACAACAAGGTACAATGACAAAAGGAATGTTGTCGTTGCGGATAGTACCTTGGATTGGAAATGTTGAACTATCGGTTTAACATATTTGATACATAGTGGCTTCGTTTTTGTCACAAGCGACGGCAAACAAAACTCGGACTGGAGTTGCGGTCTCGGACTTTTTGACCATTCACCACACACCACACACTTCAATCCTTCGGTGGCAGTCTCGCTAACCGGTGTGGGTAGGACTAGTTGTCTACAAGATCTCCAACGATTTGATCTTGAATTGCACTGTTTGAGGCCTCTTTTCAATGGTCCTAGAAAGCCTTGCTCTTGGACTACATTTGGATTAACATTTCCCGAAACATTTGGATTTTTGTGCTGTGAGTCGGCAGAAACTTTGGACCCGACTCTTGGCGCAATTGTGTCACTGTTGTACCATTCGCACAGCTCGTGTACATTTCGTCCACTGCCTTGATGAGAAAAATACGTGACCGAACATTTTGTTTCGTGAACCCTCACGCATCCTACTTCAAAAACCAATTTGGTATGATGCCCCAGGCAGCTGGATGGCACACTACAGTATCTACTGTTGCAATCTGCATTGTTTATGGCTGGTCAAAAACATGAGCTCTCGTGACAAGTCTTTCTTTCGGTTGTGGTAATTTATTGTTGGGATGGTGTCAATGCTGTTGATGTAATGGTCGCTTTTCCTCTTGTTCTTATCATTTTCTGCCCTAGTATCACTAGCGTCTCACAGTGAGGCTGTTTTCTTTTTGTCTCTGTCGGTATCTGTCGGTTCTTTGTTCTCGTCGCTCTTCGTTGCTCTTCGTTGCTCTTTGCCTTGTCATTGCCTCGGTGTCTGCTGTCGCTATGGGATCATGCACTCCACACGCTGTCGCGGTCAAAGAGATCGCATTCGCTGGGCTGCACAGTTGCAGTGTTTGTTCCACATTCAGCATGTTCAGCATGTTCAGCACTGACATTGTGCATCTTTCTAGTTTCCATATGTTTCCATCTTCATTTCCTGAGAGAATGCTTGGATTTTGAGATAGCTTGGTTGCCCCTTGTTTTTGTTCTTAAAAAAACATTTCTTCTTTTGCGATCGCAGTCTCCTATGGATGGGACGCCTGACGTTGCGACGCCTGACGTCCGCATGATGTTTGTTAGGTCCTCATGTGGCAAGCCTCGTTTCCAAGTCGGTGGTTTGAACCTATCCCATCAAACATATTCTGGTCGATTTGCCGGGAAATCATCGCAGATGGCATATTCCCTGCAATCTGTGTGCTTCCATACGTGGGTTCAAAAGCAACACAGGTTGTGAGCGGTTTGCATCCTTTCTCTACAAAAATCATGCGGACACATTCTTCGATTCTCGTAGCTGGCCTTGAGAGGTTTGACTACTTTGCGCTTCACTTTCCCTCCTCGCTTAGCGCCGCCGCAGCAAGAGCTCGAAAGTTGCGAAAACGTTGAAGTTCCGCACAGTTCAGTTGTTGCTATGACATGGCCGAGTCTGCAACAAAACAAGCATTACTATTTAGTATTTTGAGATTATTTTGCCATATATGTTCAAACATTGTTGACGAAGCCTTGATGTTGCCCTGATGTTCGCCTTCGTTGTTGCCGTGGTAGTTTCGTCCGCACCGCCCGTTGCCGTGTGTGCCGTCTGTGCGGGTGAAGGTGACATGAGTGACTCACCCACAACAGTTATGCCACAAGCGACAGCCAGTCCCTTTTTCATCGGACAGCAAGTAGCCGTTCATCCGCTCGTGAAACCCAACGAAACTCGGTACAGTTGAGACACAACGTCACAGAATCCGTGAAGGCCAAACAACAGCAAACAACTAATAGGATCTAATAGGATCTAATAGGGATGATTATGAATCCACAGTGAGAATGGGTTGCTGGTTATAAATCCATAAGCCGTGGCATTCAAGCTATCTTTAAGCATGAACTCCATGCTGATTACCAAACATTTTTCTGGTGGATATTGATCGCCTCATTGCCGTGGGAATTCCTGGTGCATTGCCACCTTTCAACATGCTCCGAAGAAATTTTGGGAAGATGGATCCACCGAATCGAATCAAAGATGAAAATTGGATCCAGAGAATTCTTTGTGCGCAACCGAAATTGAAAATTGGATCTGCACAGTGGAAACTGCAGGATCCATTCTTTCGCTTACATGGAAACAGCAACAGCAGAATCAAATCACAGATACTGTGACTGTTGCGCGCCAAGTCGAGTGTCAGCAGGGAACATATTTGTTGCTTTAAGTTTTTCCGTATCGAGTCCATCAACATAACTCCACTGTGAGTTCCGATTCAGCTTGGGATTTGGCAATCAAAATCATAGTACTCCAGGACCCTGGCAAATCCAAGACATGCTGGTATCTAGCTGATGAATTCAACTGCATCCAATTGGGTACTGATAGACGAAATCAGCAAATTATGGGTCCTAAGCAACACATCTTTGGAAAAACTCTGGCCTTCATTTGGCTACAGCTCAAACTCGCGGCCTGCAACACTCGGATGCAAATTAACATCCAACGTCAACTGTTGCGAGCTGGATCTTAAAGCACTGAATTTTCCTGGGCAAAGCTCTTCATTTGCCACCTCAGCAAAAATATGGCGATTGGCAGAGCTTTAGAACTTACCACCGAAGATCCTCAATGGTTTGTCGTAAATTGGGATGATTTGATTATGATGATTATCCCCTCTCTGGATAATGATAATGCTCAGGATACCACGAAACTCCAGCGCCCTACTGGGAGCGCTGTCACATAAATAACAAGTACTCGTGGCAAACCCCTTTCTGCCCTTAACACTTAGATCGACTACCTCAAATGAGAGCTAAATTTGGCAGGGTTGGTCTTTACGGTTGATTCAAAATATTCAAAGTTTGAAGTTTTCTTAATATATTGAATCACGATTCCCCTTATAATAGACCCTGGACCCGGGGGGCGCCAGTTTATAAAGAATTACGTTATAAAATGAGAATTCTCCAAAATAAAAAGTTATAAAATGGGAATCACGACAAGTGCAATATACGGTCCCTTGCAAATGGCATCTTATAATGCGCCCTGGTGACGCTATAAAATGGCAGTTGAAATCAACGACATTTTTCAAAACAAATTTTAGGTTCTGTGAGTGGGGAATTTAATGGGTTTTGATGGCTTTGGCATTTTATAAGTTTTTTTAAGATCATTTTGTAAGAAAAACAACTTTGCAAAAACAATGCACGTCAGATAAAAAGGGATCATTACTTTATATGGGTGTTGGTGAAAGAAAAATCCAATCTTTGTGACCCCCGGGTCTGTTTTTTCTTACAAGACTCATGAATTGTGCTGTCTTTTCAAGGTACCTGGGAGGCACCCACCTGTTTTTTGGGTCCATTTTTGAGAAACTGGATTCCTTATAAAATGACCCGGAAAAGCGCCACCCGGGTGGCGCCATCTAGGAATATTAAGAGGGGGATGAATCACGTGTAGATTGAGGCCCTTTAGGCCCTTGAGGTCCTAGAGGTCCTTGAGGCCCCGGACATGAACACCACAAACACTCAGACGATCGATCCGTGACATCCACACGAGGTTCGGGTTGAGGTCGATCATCCTCCGAACAGAAGGAACAGAAGGAACAGAAGGAACCAACTCCAAGCTATTCCAAGCTCAAAAACATTCAAAAACCAACAACTCGCCCTCAAAAATGCTTGCTCAAAAGTTGCTCAAAAGTTAAGCATCGTTTATTCAGTAAGGTCCCATGGAGATCTAAGCGGCAAAGTGTTGATCGAACAGTATTAAAACATCAAAGAAAGGGCAGCCAGCTAGCAGCACCCCAGTCGCGGGCAGCCCAACACAAAAATCAATGGGAGCATCTCCAGGGACCCGGCAATCGATGAGGAAGGCAGAGGGGTGACACACAAATGGACACAACAAGGGGGGAGAGGAAAAGGGCAGGGAGGAATGAAACAGTCAACGAAAGAGAGAGAGAGAGAGAAGCCAGAGAAAGAGGAAACAAAAAAGGGGGAGAAGGTCAGGTACCTAGAAGAGAATTGATGAGGACCTGTGATCGGTACTTGATCTTTGATTTCATCCTTTCATTTCTTATTTGTCTTGTTCCATTCTTTTTTCCAGTATGATGTCCTGTCGAAGTTCGAAATCTTCCAATTTCTGCATTGTCTCTTTGAGCTCAGCGAACTCTGCCTTGGCATCAACATGCTTCACATATGGAGCCTCTATCCTATCTCAATCACCTGCATAGTGATATTTTAGATCATTACTCTTCTCATCGTTTTTCTTGCAAAAGGTTCAAACAAATGTCATCATGTAAAATCTGAGCCCTAAACCATGTAAAATCATGAACACCTATACCACTGGGTCTTTCCAAACTTCGCAGGACTCATCAGTTTGGAATGTGACTTGCTGATTTTGCTGATTTTTGCATTGAGTTTGGGACCACAATTTGATCCGCTGAGGACTTCATCTCCTGTGGGGAACCATGGCCGGTGAATGGTGGCGAAGGGACCCCCAAAACACGCGGCAAATTTCTATTGGGTTACCCTCTGGTTATTTAACATAGCTATCGAAAATGAACCATTTATGCCAATTTATGCATCATTTATGATGATTTAACCATCAAACATGGTGATTTTGCATAGCTACTTTAAAGTATCAAAGGGTAGAGTTCAAAATCACCAAGGCACTAAGCTTCTTGAGGGTTGCGTATCAAGGCTAAATCACACTTCCAAGTCTTCCAAGTCGATATCCTTGAGGATCCTGTGAAGTCTGAACAAACAACTTGCCAGGATTCAAATGGGATGCCCTGAAACAGCAAAGGATCGTTTTCGTATAATTACGTGTTTTCCTACCCCATTTTGTCAAAAACTGTAGATGTTTCTGTGCTCAATCAACATCAATCAACTATTGGAACCACCAATGGTTGGTACAACAATTGTTCCAATACCACCGGGTATTTTTTTCAGCTCTCCAAGTCACCTGAGAAGGCTCACGGACCGGGATCGGAGGTTCCTGTTCCTGGCGTTGCTCGCCAGGAAATGACCAGTCCTTCGATTCCGTTTCAATGTCTGTGAAAAGTCTATCCGAAAAAACGCCTGCTGCGTTTCTAAAATCAACTAAATTGGCCCTGAGTTTCAAAATGATCGAAATAGAAAATAAATATGAAAATAATAGAAATTAAAGATGAAGATGCGTTGAACAGACCTGATCCCAACATATTAACCTATTGTTTTGTGACAGATTTGGGCTTTCCTTAGAGGCTGAAGCCATCCCAGTCGGAATCAAGTGACCCAGTGACCCAGCGGCCGGCACCTGCAGGATCTGTGTATCAGTATCTTCCGGAGGAATGATCTTTGCCTGTTCCTCCTCTTCCCTTGCTTTGGCTTCCTGAAAACCGACAAAGTGGGGGAGGAGTGTGGAACATGTCAGCATCAATTACTGGGACAACAGATAGTGGGAAATCACTAAGCATGAAAGAAATGGGGCTAGAATGCTAGAACCTACAGAATCAGAATGTAATGTAATTAACTAACAATCTTGGCAAGAATCTTGGATGCAGTGACCCATAGTTTCTTCAATGGGTCATCCAATCCTGCTCCAACGCGCCCCGCAACGCGCCCCAAATACAAGAGGAGCCTTTCTTTCTCGTTCCAACTTCACATTCAATTCCTGGCGCCGATTTCCGGTGAATCTTTTGAGATTCTTCAGTGCTTCAGTGTGAAACATGATAAAGACACATGATCATCGATAGAGGACTTCCTATTGGGTTTCACCAGAGGGTTCCCGTTTCAGGTCCCCTAGTGACCTAGTGGCTTTGGGATCGCACCTGAATCTCTGCAGGACGCGCGTCTGCAGGAATGTCTGCGGGGCTAATGTTCCTGGGCTGGGATGGCTGATCTTAAGGTTCAATGACCATAATGACCCGCTGGAAACAGAAAACCATGTCGTGATGTCAGGCAAAACGTGTATTGATACTCTTTGATCGGCTCCCACGGTTGCAAATCCCCCATCATTGGTTGCATCCCCTGCAAATGAGCTATATCAGGCTATATCAGGCTATATCCCATTCCTATCCATTCCTGACTTCTGTTTGCTCCATCGGTTCCGGCATGGTTCCAGATGGTTTCCACGCTCCATTTTTTGGCCCCGAGATTTAAGGCTCCCGGCTGCCGCATCTGCCGCAGGATCTTGTCGTACTCGTTATGGTCACGGGTGTCCATCTGGCGGAGAAGCTACTCCAAGCTACATCCCATGAAGAACCACCAGATCCACCAGTTTATCCTTGGAGGGTACCAATTTAAAACTATTTTGGGGGGAACTCCCACCAACTCAGGGTTTATTAATCCAGGGTTGATATTGTGATTCATTGTGTACATCACATATGATGAAAAGTCTGGATGCCAAGCACGAGGAAAGTACATCAAAAATTCGGCTTCAACCTTTGCTCAATTTTTGCTGAGTTCCCCCATGCAGCTATTGTTTCTTGTTCCTTCCATTTCTGATGGCATCACACAATAGACCGTCACATCGCCGGCTGCACCAAGTCGTGCCCATCTTTGGCACTGCATCGCACCTCGAAGAGTCTGGCTGAACATCTATCAATTCAGTTTCAATAGGGTCCCCCAAATCCAGAAGATCCTAACCATATCTAACCATCACGTTGAATCACGTTGAATCCCAATAGCATCCCCAAACTTTGAGGTCTGTAGTGTTCCGTGTTCAAAAATCACCAACATTTTCATGACTGTCACCCAAGATTCCGACAGCCCTTCCCAAAGGGTTTATCTTTGGCCCGGACCCATCCAGATTTTCCCTTTTCAGGTCCTTCTTGTACCACAATGCATGCCACAGGACACCTCAAAGCGGGGATTCTTTGGGATATCACCAACATATGACGGGTCATATAATAGTGTTTTTTTTTTTTACAGGTCTTGGGACTAGTCTAGCCATCATTAACCTAGAACGTATGTGAAACATGGAGGTAACCCATCTATCAACAAAGCAGCGGCCCTTCTATTTCGGGCTGAAACAGTCTGGAGATGTTTTTGACTTGTTGGAACCAGCGAGATCCAACATCGATTTGATTCAAATTGAAGAACATAACATATGAACATATCTGATCTTTCATCATCTTTTTCCTATTTTGTTGCCTTCGCTAGTTCTGAGCTACTTCCTGCAATGCATGCAATGCATGAAGTCCCCAATTTCAATCATCCGCATTGGACTCTAAATCACAACTAGATATCTTAACAGTGTTTCCAGGTGTTTCCAGCACCTCTGTTGCTGGGGCGCAGACCAACCTCCTTGGATTTCGACATTATTCATTTCCTGCACCTCCACCAAACTTCCTTCTGAAACCTCCCATGGGACGACCAAAAAACCAAGGCCTGACCAGCCGGGGGATCGCCAACTGGATCACCTATGCCTCGATTTTTGGATCCCAACTTGAAACCACCAAAGAATCAACTCCAATCAATTCCTAAAGTCGTTCGAAACCAAAAAAAACCAGGAAACCCGGAAAACGCCACCAATTTTTGGCCCGTTTTTCTTGGGACCATCGTTGAACAAATCCGTATCCATGGTATCCATGGCTGGCTGCGACGGTTCCAGCGGCTGCGACCTTACCCACTTCGGAGCTGCTGAGGTCGGCGGCGCTGCGCATCGGAGCCCGCTCCAACATCCGATAGGTGGCCCCTGCCTCCAGATGGGTTTGAAAAACCACCGTTGAAGGGCAAAGATGTTAAGAAAACATGGAAGAACCGTCCAGAATCAGAAACTACAGTTTATAGAATGGTCAGTTTTTAGTAAAACAACAACGAGATTTTTCTTTGGTTCCACTTATTAATCCCGTTTCTTCTATACTGTCCAACCCCCACCATGGAGACAACCGACTTGTTAGATCTTGGACGATTTAGATCCACAGCGCAGCGCCTCCCAAGGCGAATTGCCACCCGGTTGATAGGACTTTCGAAGACCTGTGGCAGATCAGCTGCATCTCAGAAAACTGCTTTTTGTACCAACAGTTCCAGTGGAGGTACCACAGATCGGAAAGTTTTGTGCAAACAATGGGGGCACTGCTGTGAGAATTCAGCGTCTCATTTCAGAAGCGATATTTGGAACTCAGACACTTTTGGAGGCAAGACATTTGTCTGGCAAATCTGGGAATTGTAGATCCCAACAATCTCAGTATTCATCAGTATTGATACCATCTGGTTATTCAACATAGCCATGGAAGCCATGGCCCATTTATAGATGGTTTACCTATTGATAGCATGGTGGATCTTTCCATGGCTACGTTAGTCATAACCAGATGGTATATTACTGACCTTGATCCTTTTTGCAAGGTTCCTCCCTTGCTTCGCTTGGCCTGGCCTGAACCGGATTGTCTCAAGGTCTGTTTGTGTATGTCAACGACCTGGACGAGGCTCAAGGGATCTCAAGGGGGCATTTTTCAGATATTTCGAGGATGTTTACCATATCTTTCGACACGTCAAAGTAACTTGTCAAAAAGGTTAAAATCATGAGATATATACTAAAGATCATCAAAGTTCTATTTCCATCTTCCACCTTCAGGATCATTCCCATCAGGCTGTGAGCTGTTTGCCTTCTCAAAATTGGATCTGAGACTTCCAATATCCTCAACCTACGGATTCCTTGAGCAATTCTCAGCAACGGTTTTTTCCTTGGGCAGATCTTGGTAGGTCTTCCAATTCCCAATATATCTTCCAGATTTTCGGCTCTCACCGTTTTCTTCATATAATCAACAGGACATCCTGTTGAATCTTCCACCATGGGACCTTGCGACTGAGCAGGTTCACAGGTTTCAACAGATGATCTCCAACCCCGGTCTCAGGGCTCATCCTAGGCATTCCCGGTGAGTGAATCTCCCGAGAGTAAGCTATCGGATAGAACCGACAGAATTTAGGGGGGGAGAACATCAAATCGTGGGGATGTAACCAAATATCATGTTAGGACTGATGATGGATATTCTGAATGCATGTAATTGATGGAATGAACAAATAGAGATAGTGGAGACTGCTCCCAAAAGTAACAGTCCTCCCAAAAGGGACACTGTGGATGATTGATCCAAGATTGACAATGTTAGTCGAGATCTTCGGACCTTCGAGGCATCACTTGGATGCATAGTTAAATCTATCATGGCGGAAGACATTGAGCAAGCACAGTACACACTTTTTTGGTGTGAACCATTTGGGGCTCCGACCAGCCGATCTTGTCCCCTGCAAAGACCAATGTGCGCAATCTTGCCTGAAACATGGGGAATTGGATGGAAATGGGTCGCTGGTAATCAAACAACATCAGCAATGCTTTTCCGAACGCTGCCAGGTCCTGCTGCCAGGATGAAAGCCCTGATCAACAACAAAAATCGCCAGGTTTTCAATGAGGGATGCCTTAAGGGTATAATTTCTTAAGGGATGGGTCATGGTTTTCTCCCCATTTTGCTCCAAATGCCATGGTGTTGTGCCCGGTTCACCTTGGTTGATTGGGAACCGCCAGAGGTAACTCCGAAGTCTAACAGCAGCACCTGGCAAGGTGGAGGATCCTGATCTGTTAAGTATATGGAGGTTTCCCAACATGGGGTGTATCTCTAAATCATCCATTTATAGAGGATTTTCCATTATAAACCAATCATTTTGGGATTCCCCATTTATGGAAACCCCCATATCAATATCTAATCATTGTGCTGGATTATCTATGATAATCCTCCAACCAAATAATCATAGATTAATGACAGTAAAGCTTTCATTGTTTGGCCAATGCACAGTTTCAGATTTCAAGGCACTGAGCAAAATGGAATTTTTAAGTTAACAAGGATGAAGATTCACCCAGCTTTGGTGAAACATCCAGCAAAAAGGGGTATGAACCAGCAAGAATCGGGAACAATCAGAGAGGATGCAATCAACTGCTACAAGGATGTCAAGCACTGTCAAGCCATTGATGGAAAGATTGAAATAATGTGGCGAATATTGAGCAACTAGTACTGGGATGTACTGGGAAGATTGATCGACCACTGGGAATGTTGATATGTCACTCTGGAAATTGAACCAACTGACGAATGGAATGAATGGAATGTGTAGTTTGACAATTTATATTTTCCTGGTAAGACTTGCACAAGCAGAATCTCAGAGTATGGATGAACGGGGATATTGCCGCACAAAACCAGGATATACCAGGATATTGCGAATCAAGAAAGGGATCCCAATCAAATCATCTGGGTCACATAGGACATAGGCACCTGACAGGACACCATTGCTGCATCACTCAGTTCCCCCAAAACTACATCAGTCATGGAACGAAGCGCGGTCTGCCATCAAAGAACTCTTGGGTGAAGGTGACCGCACTCATTTGAACGAGTTGCTTTTAGAGCTCAGAATTCTGCTTCTCTCGAATCTCTCGAGCCATTTGGTCTTCGAATTTGGAAAATCATGCAATCGAATGATTCAAGTTACTTCAAGTTGCTTCAAACCAAACAATTCCTCCACTTCTCCGCTTTTGCACGGCATCTCACTCTGCCGGTCCTGCCGGCCCTGCCGGCGCCTCACAGCCGGCTTGCAGCTCGCCGATGTTCTCGCTGTCCAGCGCTGGACCTGGCACCGCAGCTGCACCAATCGCAAAACAACCAATGTGGGAATATCTGAGACCAACCTGGTTATTTAATGGTGGTTAATGGTGGTTAATAGTGGTTAATAGTGAGGATTTATCACGATGTATCATGATGTATCACCTAATGTATCAGTACAATGATGTACAATGTATCACATGTATCCGATATCCCCAATTCACCGCGCCAATAGTGCCATTTTGACTCCACATTTTGATTCACTTCACATCACTTCACCATTCTCCACGCCTGCCCTCAAGGTGGCGGGGTTCTGCACGCTGTAGCGGGCTTTCAGATCCCACGAGCCTGGCCATGAGAAAGTCGCCATTTTGCACCAAGCTCCATGTCCCTTATTGCAGAATATGCTTTCACATCATGTGACAATAAAATCCAAGATGTTTCTGGCAATCGCCATGGATCCCATGGCAAGATCAACTATGACTACATTTCAAGGCTTACATGGGTTACACCTGATTCTTTCCAGCTTCATCCCCTTGATCTTATTGTTGGTATCAATTCCTACTCTTCATGACCCCATGTCCACCATCTGTGACTTATCATAGCCACTGAGCAAAGATGTAGAAATTGTAGAAATCTTCATTATCCCAGCATTATACCTTCATATAATATTCATATACTGTATGAATATATCATCATCATAATCTCTACAGTTCCCATAGACATCCAGAGACCATCCAGACATCATCCCTTCACAAACCAGCCATGCCTGGCAATTCGTTGTGATACAACGGCGGCTGCATGGCTTTGCCACGTTGCACGTCCTGGTGGTGAAATGTTGGATGGTTTCCAAGTTTCATTTACAGAAAACATTAGGTTTCCAATGGTTTCCAACTTGTCTATCTATTTAGGAGTTAACTCTATCTGATTAGACATTAATAAGTTCATTAAACATCATTAAACATTGTTTTTTTCCATGAAAAGTGTTGGATTCCAACCAAGAAGCAACGGATTTAGACCCAGCAAAGTTCTTAGGGGCATCTCACCTAGATTCGGATCCCTTTGGTGAACAAGTTTCTTCCAACCATGTTCCATTCCCGTGTTATTACACCTTTTACACCTAAACAATGGAACCTCCATCATCCTCCATCGAAACCCACCCATTTTTGATGGAAACCTCCAGGGAGATCCATCCGGCTTCGTGACTTTCCGCAGGTTGCGGAATCACAAAGCCCTTTCGACGGCCTGGTGGTGAAAAACACGTGTCAGTGCTTCCCTTAAAGGGAAATCATCAAAATTCTTTGAAGAATGTAGAAATCATTGTATATCCAGATTTATCTTGGGATCTGAAAACTGACTTGAAGAATCATCACCCAGTCAATATGAGAAATAGTTTACAAACACATCACGAGTATCAGCGAAACTTCACGGGATTTTCCTTGCAATTTTTCAAACAGTTTTAATCATTTTCCACTTGGTGGTATCAAGTGAACGTGGGGTCCAAGAAAAACTTCTTGATGGCACCGCTTTACCGTAGGAACTGAAACAAGCACGAATCTTCATGGGTGAGGGTGCACTGCAAACCCCATTCTTGGGCAGTGGACCAGGCCCAACTCATGACGAAGCATCGTGAGATGATCTTCAAGGTCGGTCACGTTCGTATCCGATGCACATCGTATTTGTTGTGGGTCTTGCCACCGGCGTATTCGTTGTAGTCCATACTCTGATTGACTTTGATTAATGATTGAGCTAGGCCGCTAAACTTCCCAAGTGGGATGGAAAGTCAAACAAAAGGTGCCATGACCAGGCATCTGCAGGCATCTACAACTTGACACTTGACATGGGCAGTTGTAATATGGCAAACCCAACAACAAGCCATCCCCAATGGGGCTTTATTCAGTTTATTCTTGGGTATAGCCCTATTTTCATGATTTACAATGACGCCCTATTGCTAGAAATTTGAAGCCATCCAAGTTTGATCTTTATCCACACCACCTCCAACTCCCTGGGCGAAAACGGAACCTGATTGCTCAGAGATTTTCACCAAAAGAACCACGTCCTGGGCGCAACTTGGCCAAGAAACACCCACCAAAAGTTGGTTTGAGGTAAAGCTAAGCTGCTTTTGTTTTTTTTGGGCTGGGTTTCTTTTGTTCGCAACTATCTTGAACAACTTCTTCAGCATACCTACATTTGTTGGCAAGCTGGCAACATGTCTATTTTATCATTTTGGTCTACGGAACTCAGACATCATCATAGGTCAGGATTTAGCCTATTTCTTTGATACCCCGTGACCAATCCATTTTTTTTTGGTTAACGCCTTCTTGGCCTTGGTGAACACCCAATCAGCTTGGCGCCTTCTTGGCCTTGAGCGTTTCGATGCGATTGGCCTCTGGACTCCTTAGCCCAGAGCTTGAGGTTGTTTCTGGGACAAAATGTGCGAAATTGAAATCAACGATCCAAATTTTCGAAAATCCTTGGGAGAACTTCCGATGATTTTTGGGTTGCGGGATTCCCATCTACATTTATCTCTCAGGACAAATTGGATCCATATGGATCCCTGGTCGGTCCAGGGTATCGGATTGGTATCGGGGGATGGGCAACGGATGGTGCTGCCGAAGGATCTCGCTGTCGAACAGCTCCAAGGGTCTGTGCACCTTGTAGCGCTTGCCAACCTCGACAGTCCAATCGCCCGGATTTCTTCTGCCGTTTTGGATCCCATACCAACCTGGGATTGGTTTCAAAGGCTGTCTATATACCTTTCCATTTTTGGGTCTAACAGTTGACAGTTCGGGTAGTGTCAATATTTGCAGACATTTCCGCAGGTTCGACTTTTCTCTTTAGGTATTATATGCATATATTGTTTGGCAACTTTCATCCCATTTTCCACAGGTTACATGGCCACCGTGGCAGCTGGGATCTTGCACAGCATAGCCCTCCGGAGCCGGCGGCTGCCTGGTGCGAAACTGGGTGAAGGCTGGGCGGTGCTTGGATCCCCCAGAGGCACCATATGGACCATCATCCTTTCCCCAACAAATGGGTGAAAAAATGATGAAACCAAATAACCACTATATTAATTAATCACTATTAATCATCACTATAGCAACCTTTTTTAAGCTTTGGGGATCATCAATTCGGCAGTGGCACGTGTGGCACCTGGAACCCTTACAGCCCATGGCTGTGAAGCGGTCGCGGCACCGGTTGTGCTGGAGCCGTGGCGATCCAGTACCAGGAGCGTCCAGTCCGAGGTCCCAAAGGATCCCAAAGGTCCAAAGATTTGGATCAGCCTAACTGCCTAACTATGCCTAACTTTCACGGGTCAAGACCTCCAAAACATCAAATCCATTCTGCCACGTTCCGACATCATCATCATCATCATCATCATCAACCAGCAGGACATTAAAGTGCATACTGCCATCCCAATTCATGGCATCCGACTTTTTCACAATGGCCCCAAGGTCAAAGGTGGCAGGGGCGGTGACAGCGGCCATTGATTCGATGGCGGCGTTGACAGCAGCCGTTGACACGTCTCCAGTGCCCCAGCGGCCTGGTGAATTTGGGGAACACAAGCTGTCTGAGACAAAGAACTTTCATCAACTTTCTATTTTGGAATTGCATGTAGTATCATTTAGTCAGAATTTGGTTGTTTCATCTTGTTTCTCCTGATTTTTTTCCATGTTTTGGAAGGGGTTTCACTGTTAGACTTTTCTTTTCACCAACCTTTTCGATTTTTTTTCGGGGGGACCCTGATACTCCACTTTTTAAACTCAGGAATCAAACCCAAGACTCTTGGGGTCCTGGCTTCAACATTTTCTGCACTTTTTTGAGTCCTATCCTCAAATCAAGTACTAGTTTACATTTCCATCATTTCATATCATTTCCATCATTTCAATTCTGATTCCCTCACGTTTGCCTAGCAATTCTCAGTATTGTAGGTAAAACTCCCCAGTCTTGCTGATCACTCATCTTTCCAAACCTGCTCTGTTTTGATGGGCGGTAAAATCCCAAAATGCAGGGCAACACATCCTCTGTGCGAAACCTTTCCGGGACTTTTTGGACGTCTGCTGGATGACTTTTCAATGGCAAAACTTAGACTCTGCAAACAAGTTCATGTTCGGCAGACCGCTTTTTTTAATTCATGTTCCCATCAAAAAGGAAAAAGAACAACATTAAACTCATTAAACCATGTAGCATATTCTTCATAACCATTTACATTCCCAAACCCACCACTTTTCTTGCCAAATAAAGGTAAATAACAGATTAAATAACCACATCGTTTTTCCCCAGGTTTTTCCATGTTTTTCCCATGGACATCCTCTCCGCAGCGCCTGTTGCCGCTGCTGAGCGATGCTACAGCTGCCCTCGGCCGCGCAGCTCCGCCACGCTTTGGTGGCGTCGCGCTGGCGGCAGAGCTCGGCCTCTGCGGTAGGTAATACGATGGGACGATGACCATTCCCATGGCGTCATGGCCACAGCATTAATCCATTGAATTCCATTGAAATGAATGAAATATATTGAAATGAAACATAAATCCATTTAGTCCATTGAAATCATAATCCATTCACCCATTCAACCATTCATCGCACCGATTCCTGAGGTAGAACCAGGCCGCACCTGCAAGGATTCTTGTGACGTCGCGAGATGTCGAGCCTGGCTCGAAGTGGTGCAGTGGTGCCTTGATGCCCTTGATGGGGGACAGCCGACAGCCATAAATTCTCAAATAGTCATGGCATCTCATGGCTGTCATGGGATTTTTGCCAACATTTTAATACATTTTACAGCTGCGAAGATTCATCCCTAATCTGACTTTCCAAGGCTGTGGCAAGAAAAATACACACCCAAATGAAGTCGCGCCAACTGCATACTCAAAATTGAGATCTAAACGATAAAGTCGATAAAGTATCCAGTATTATCCAGTATGAACTGCCTAGAAACACTACAAACATCTTCAATTTCCTCCATGATCCTCCATGAAGGCCAAACTGCCGCGCCTCTTCTGCTAGAATCGATGCCCGCTTTCGGGCCTGGCGCAAATTCTGGAAGCGCTTGCGAAAGCTCCGATATTTCTTGGCGTTCCATCGCGATGGCTATGAAATAATATGAAATATCCGAAATGTTCTGTCCAAAGTCCAGTTTTCTTGACAATCATTTGATTCTTTCTGGGTTGACGTCTCATTTTATCCCATTTTTCATCATTTTTTTTGTGGACAGACCGACCCGTACGGGCGCCTCGGTCAGTCGTTTGGCCACCGATGCAGCGTCTGTCTCGGTGTCCTGGAGGATTCAAAAATGGTTGGGACCATTGGAACCAACAAACAGTTGCAGTTTGGCCTACCAACGCAACGCTTGAAGCACCATGGACCGAAAAATCAAAAAGAAGGATTTTGCCAAGTATTGAGGGGATGAACCAATCCCCAAGATATCCTAGTTACATCCATCTGTATGGAGTTTTTGCAACCGCGTCTTCGGCAACAAAACACCTCGAAGGGGTTAGCGACTCACAGGGCGCTGTTCCTCAAAACTTAAATCGCAATTATTCCAGAATGTTTCGCTTAGGGACCTGGAATACCTGGAATACCTGGAATGGAATATCATGTTTCAATCACTTGGAGATGTGTTTGATCTTATGAAATCTTGTGATATCCCCATGGATCCCAACAGGAATCCGTCCATGGTCCTGCAGTTCTGTCGCCGTCCATCCGGAAGAGTCCTCGGAGAGAGACAGAAATGGCACCTCGAGGGAGACCTCATGGATTTCGACTTCATTTTTCATGATTCAATGACTGTTTGGATATGTGAATTTAGCAATTTCACATATTTTGATGGAGATTTTGATGGTTTGCTTCAAGGTCCCAACTGGGTCCCAACGGGGTCCCTACGGGGTCCCTAAATCCAAGGTCGGTGCCTGGACTGACTTCAGACTTTCTTTCAGCTGTTCCATCTGACACCGCAGCGCCGCCTGGTCTAAATCGGGGGACGACACATTCGACACATTCACCTTGGACCGTGCTCGTTTGCTGTGCTCATTGCAGAAAATTCACGGATTTCACCCCCCAATCTGCAGCATCGGGCTGCCAATTGTGTTTTTTCTTTTTCCAGGCAGCCCATTTTTTGATCATAGAGCCACATATTGGCTATGTCCGACCATCAACCCCGCCAAAATCACATAGTTTAACAACGTTTTTCCATGTTTTTCCCCATTCAAATGGCTATAAACTAGGGATCAATCCACCATTCTTGGATTGCCATGTGGAAGTGTAGGAGAATCTCGTTACCCAAATACTACCCTCATGGAATCAACGATATCAATGGATAATTGGACAATCATCCATTGATACCATGGATTTTCCCATTCAAACCTGCATTTCTAAGGGATTTTCCATTTCCTTTTCGGGACCAACCTGTCTGGCAACCTCACCTGCGACTTCTCTCGCGAGGCGTCGATCATGCGCCAGATCTGGGAGCGGTGCTCCTGACGGTTTCGGCTTGGCTTCCCCTTGGGTTTTCAATGTACAGGTTCCAAATTTATGAAACTAAACTGGGATCATCATCTCACTTTTACTGATTGGGAAATAAAACAAGCCATCAACCAGAGCAGCAAAATTTGATTTGAAGGATTGATAGACTAAACGTTCTTGGCCACTTGATATGTAGATGGAGATAACAGGCTTGAAAACCCGATCCAAGAAGATCAGTAGGATAAAAGCGTATAAAAACATTTTCTCCATTGAAGGAACATAACTGGAACATAAATGGTCAGTTGAATCCAGTTGAGTCCCAAAACTGCCAGATGTTTTGGAGGTCTATGAGATTGACCCACAAGGATTGCTGCTTTCCACACCCCTGGGTCTGGCTGGCCGCGCTGGGCGCTGTACAGGTGTGACACCGAAAATGGCTCCAACTTCGTGTTGGTTTCAGTGGTTTCACGCTCCAAAAAAGCAGTGCAACATCAACAAAGAAACTAAAATCGCAAAGAAATACAAACCTCTTGGGATCTATTGCAGTTTCATGTTCAGCGAAACCACATTCTTTTGCCTCCAGGGCACTCCACTAGCACTCCAAACGACCCCTGTGCCAGGCGGCAGTTGTTTTGGGGTCGTCTGTCATTCGCAGTGGCTGCTGGAAAGCTTTGAATGCTGGCCGCCGGCTGATCCGAGGATCGGTGAACAGTGAGCCCTCACAGTGAGAGCATGGACACTGGTCCCCAGTCTATTGGGAAGGGATTTCTGATGTCAAATGCAGTGCGATCAACCGAAGGATGTGGCAATTGAGAATCACCTTTTTTTCCTATTGGACCGACGGAATTGGAACCAGCTATCTGGGGGTTCTACTCCAAGGACAAGCAAGGATTGTACTCAGTAGTACTTCCAATAAACCAACACTTGCGTTGAACTTCGAACATGTGCACCATTGATCTCTTGGGGATTTGTCTGGACCAAAGGTACGATCCAATCCGCCAAAGTTTGGATATTCAGCCCGCAGCAGCAATGAAAATCTTGGCTTTAGCTGACAGTCACGATTGACGCACCACCGCAACACGATCCATGGGTCATGTAAAAATGATTGCCTGTCTTGAAACAAACACACAATTTTCATCAACAGCAAACTGGGAAAATCATCCCCGAGAGGAGGCTGCAGAATTGTGTGTGGTGCTGTGGTGCCATTGCGACTGTCAGCTTCTACTTGTTTCAGCCACCTCCGCGAAAGCTGCTGCCTCTAAACCTGAAGTTGGATTGGGAGGGGATGGTAGGCAATACATGGGTCATGGGTACATATTCATCAAATACCACAATCCTAAGAGCGATGCAACATCACAAGATATCACAAGTACGTAATTGACATCACAAAAAGCAAGTGGGATGAGATGAATTAAGATGAATTGAGATGAATTAAGATGAATTAAGATGGATTAAGTAGGTAAGTGCTTGGTATCCACCTTTCCAACCCAGGTTTTCACCCAGGTTCCAACCCTGGGATACTCCAGCCATGGCTGAGATCGCCACATGCCACCAGGTCGTTGAAAGGTGGGTGCTCCAGCACCAACGCCAGGGAGCTCCGCCACACGACCTGTCGGATTCCGCTGTTGGTGGTATGGTTTTAGAGTTTTTTTTCATATCACAAGTTGTGTACCTCTTATTTTACCTATTTTTACCTATCACCTGACCTTTGATTCTTGTATTGGCGATATGATATGTGTAGCTATGTCCCCTAATTGGATTGGTTAAGCTGGTTAAAGCTGTTAACAGCCCCACTCTTGGTTCAAGTGCGTGGCAGGCACCTCGTAGTGCACCCAAAGCACCCAGGGCAACGCAGTACATGAAATACCTCTGGCAGTCCGGCAAAATCAACAAACCGGGCCAAAATGATCTTGTCAATTGGTATAGAAGCGACATATCCAGGATGATCAGGATGGGGATGCTCATCAAACAAGATTTGGGAAGCATTCGTCCGCTTCGCGGTTGAAGCACCGGTTCTTCAAAACTATTCAACTCCACTCAATGGAGTAATCCGCCCCACAGGAAAAGAGTGCATTCAACACAAACTGGGCACAGAAACTGCTGGAAACCACCATCCTTGATAGATGTTTCCATCTTTCTTGGTATCTTCCTCCAGTTTTATGGCAGTTCAACATAGTTCAACCATCCAAAGTCCTGGGAAGATGACATGAAGATGCCGCCGCGGAGGAGATTGGAGATGGGACCGGGCCTTGATCGGCAGCCGAAAAACCTGGAAGTGACCTGGAAATGAAGATTTTGAATGTTTGAAACTGTTGATAAATGTTGATAAATATTGATAAATGTTGATCGTTTGTTTGAGAATCAAACAGGTTTTCACCCTCAGAAATGACATGATGTCTATTTGTTGCTTCAGTTCCTCTCCTGACAAATCGTCAGGGCGTTGAGCTCACCACGCCCCAAAGAACTGCAGGAGGAAATTCGCAGGGAATCTGGTGCGATGAGATTGGCCAGTTGGCCGCAGATTTGAGGCGGAGACTGCCCACCAACTAGCAGTAATTAGCAATACTCCCACCAAATACTGCTAGCATACTGCATCTTGGAGTATTTGGTGTTTCCAAATTCAAAACATAAGAAATTGAAGCAGTCACCCAGTACTGAGCATCAAACATCGAACCAGGACTTTTCAAATATGGCCCATCCCATGATCATCCCCCGAAAACTGGGCAGGGGTGCTGTACCATCATCAAAGTGGACGCTTGCCGGCCTGCCATGGGGACCCATGGCTACAGCAACCATGTGGTGTAAACAACATGGATTAAACATCAAATCACAGAAAAAACACCCATTTGTTGAGCGACAAGGAAGTTGATCCAACTTCAATCCAATCCTTTCTTTACTGATGAACCCACATGAAACTGCAAGGTTGATCTGATAGCCACCAAGTCGCATTTGCGGCCCTTCAGTCCAATACTTCAAGTCATGGTTGTTGAGGCGAGGATATCCGTCAAAACCAACATGAAATAAACATATTGCAATTTCCAACTGGAAATTTGGGAGTTTCATCTTTGGATGCACTTTGCTATTTAGCTGATAATCTACGACACAGAAACAGGTCATCAGTCAATTTCCCTGGTACCATTGGAGGATGTTCCAACCCTGAGTGAACCATGAACTATGATCATCCATGATCACCCGCTAAGTTATACCCAGGTGAACCGGTGGGCCAACAATTCAGACAGGAGGCCTGGGACAGCCAAAACCATGGACATCTTGATGGTGAAGTTTGAGGTTCAATGAGAATGGCAAATATGGCCAAAACGAGGCTCTTGCAAAATTGTTGAGGTTGCCAAACCTGGCAAAAAATTTGGTTTTGTTGCTTTTGCCCATCCAAATAGATGTATTTCTTTCCAAGTTTCTTCCTTATTCCTTTTTGTCCTATCTGATCGAAGGAAGTTTAGAAGTCAAACTTCCGACAGTATGGACAGATGAAAAGCAGAGAAGGGAAGAAGCAGAGAGAAGAGAAAGATTAGAAGAAAGAAGAGTAG